GTCATAAAAGGTTCTGTCACCAAGTATATTAAAATAAAAGTATGTCCTTCATGCAAGGTAAAAAATTAAAACCAGATCTCTTTTGGTCCTTTATTAAGTTAATTTTAATAATAATCACAATAGGCAATTCAATTACAAATAAGTGCTCCTTTCCACCACAGATCCTCCCAAATGTATAAGGTAATTGTGCAAATAGAGCAAATAAGAAAATTCACATTCTAGGTAATGTATATCTGTTAAGACATCCCTCCAAACAAATGGTATTGATATTTAAGTTAAATACATGCCCAAGTGTGCGTATATATATAGCCATAATACTAACAACAATTAAGTTTCCTCAAATAGGTCTAAACATTTCATATTCATATTCTGCATAGCTGACATTAAAAAAACCTATATGAAACAAAGAAATGTCAAGTGCCATCCTAATAATACTTGAAAAGTTTCTGACATCCTAGTAATACTTGAAGGAAAGTTTCACAGCAGACCATAATTTAAATAGGAACTTACAATAACCATAGATCAATCAATTTTCAAAAAAAATTACATGTCTCTAGTTCACTGGTTTTCAAATTTCAACATGCATCAGAAATACTTGGAGAGCTTGTTAAAAAATAATCAGTGGACGGTATCCCCAGAGTTTCTGATTCAGTAGATTTAGGGTGGGGGCCTAAGAATTAGCATTTTAAACAAGTTCCCAGGCGAGGCTGATGCTTTTGGTCCCAGCCATATCTTGAGAATCACAGCTCTAATTCATTTATTCATTCAGCATATTTTGGGTGCCTACTCTGTATCAGACACTACTCTCAGTGGTGGGTATAGAACAAGACAGACATTTCCTCCTTTCATGTGTTTAATTCGTGTAGAAAAACATCAGATATGTTAGTGAAAACCAAAAATAACAATATTATGAAAGGCACAGCATAAAATCTAATAGACCACATCAAATATCTTAGTAGTATCAAAGAGGACTTTCATAAACTTTATTATAGTTCTATAATCTTAAAAATGTTTATAAATAAGCATGAACTGCTTCAATAATATAAGATTTAAAACATTTATATAGGAGGTTTACTAGAAGTAAACCCAAAAATGTTAACTATAGTATTTCTGATATATAAGCTATGGGTGGGTATTAATCCTTTGGTACTTTTCTATATTTCCAAATATCGTGAAGGAATAATGGTTAACATCTTTAAAATAAAATTCTTAAATCATTTTTTAAGATTGTCTTGAAAACATAATTTCCACGGTGTTGTTTTTCCTCATCAACTGAAATCGTCTCTACCTAAATATTATAAAAGGGGAGAAAACAGATTATAGCCCAAGTAAGTATGTTACTACAAATAGGAAGATCCAAATGATATGAAATATCATAAGGATAGTATATTTTTTCATGAGCATGGTATTTTGAAGAAGCATTTTAGAATAATTTCTCATTTTCGCTTTTCAATTGTAATGTGCTTTCCTTATAGTTATGTACATAACTACTTTCACACAGTAATGGTTCAATCACTAAAGATTCAATAAATACAATGATTTACAGTCTCACCATCCCCAGCTTTCTTCAGTATAGAATGAATAAAGCTGTTGCATTAACAAAAAAAAAATTACCTTTACTTTTACCAGCCTTTTTACAGTCTTAATTTTTGCCTCACAGAAGGCACCTCGGTACTTGGCACTGACATCAGTTCCCACTGTCAGGTAGGCAGGCTCATCAGCCGCCTGAGGAAAGGAACAAAAAATGTGAATGTCACTACGATTTTACAGTAACCTTAAGTGTCATTAAAAGATTCCATATTTAAAGTAAAAAGGACATTAAAATTATTTGCTTAATGATATACTGACAAGTTGAAAATTACCCTAAAGAAAACATTAACAATTATTTTATATACTGACACCCTCAAAACATATTTTAAGTTACAACTAGAAAATACCAGTAAGAGTAATGTTTTTTCCTACAGCTACAAAATGCTTCATCAATTCTACAATTTAAGAAATGAAAAATTAGGAAAAACAAGAAAAGCAGATTCATACTAAGTAGCTCATAAAACTTCATTATACATTCATGGCCTCCTGAAAACTGCTTTTCACTTTAAAGTATTGTTATTAAAATTAACATTGGTAATGAATAGGTATTTATTTATATAGCTAATTAAAAGCTTTGTGTTTTGGATACAGGACAGTTGTAGAAATAAGAAATGAAGTGAGTATTATTAGGAAAAATAATAGGCCCAAAGTTGCATTTTTAAGTTATAAGCCTAAATTTAGCCGATGAATGCAGAGATACAAACTGATGTTAAGACCTTTAGCTATACCTAGTTTACCAAACTAATCTTGAATTAAAAAATGCAAGCTTTAACAATTTACTTCTTAGTAAAAATGGCCATGCTTAGAAAGATACATTGAGATGTGAGAAATTTCATTCTACAATTTACTTTAATGAATGATTGCTGCCTCAATCTGTCACTTTGTTATTTTTCAAAAGTTAAGTGTATTCTTACAAGCTCAGTTCAACAATGCTAAATGCACTTAGAGATATACTTTTTAAATATAAAATGATTTTTTATTTTTCAATAGATTTTATCAAGTAACATTAAAGGTTAGATGTGTCACCTGAAGAAGATAGGAAAGCAAGAGAAAATTTGGGAAAATCCAATATTTGAAAGCTTACTACACTGAAACAGTAAGTAAATCAGGAACAAAGTACTTTTTAAAACTAGTGCAATTACAAATAATGCAAATTGAAAATAGATACTTTTGGTAAATATGTATCTATCTTGAAACACTCATTATCACAGCACTCCAGACTGCTGTACTGTATCTCCCTTGCCTTTTAAACATTACATATGATGTTTGCAGTATGAGTTGTCTTCAGAAGAACACATTTTAAATATTACTATAACAATTGAACCGTAAGTTTTAGTTCTTCAGATATTTTAGTCCCACAATTTCACTTTTTACCTTTAGAAGAAATTCTATCTCCCTTAACATTCCACATACTCATTAGAAAATCGTATTGACCCAGGGGAAGAAAACAAATTTCAAAAAATCCCCTAAGAACCAAAGCAGGACAAAAGGTTTACTTCTGCAAAGATTACTGCCAACACAGGAAGTGTTTAAAAATACTAACCCAATGGACAACAATGGAAAGGCTGTAGCAGCCTCTCCAAAGTGCGAGCAGCTTCAGAGAAGAGCCAAACTGACTGCGTTTAGATATAATAATCATTTCTCACCCATTCAACACGTTCTTATTTTCAGAAAGTGCTGGTTAACACAGGAACCAATTTTGAGAAGAAAAAAAAAAAATGACATTCCACAGCAGCAGCCTCCTGACAAGCAGCGTGTCCAGGGCATGAGGTTCGAAGCAGAGTTGACTCCACTTACCTTCATTTTCCCCGGTGATCTGTGGGGTTCCAGCTCAGCGAGCTCTCTCCTCTGCGTTGGAAGCACCGGGAGGAAGAGACAAGCAGAGAATCAGCCAGCGGAGGGGAGCGACCCGGGCAAAGAAAGTAAACAAACGCCGGCCGGGAGGGGCAGAACCCTCGCCCGCCGAGGGACGGGACCCCTCGGAAGGCGGCCCAGGGCCCGGCCGGGGCGGCGCGAGAACCCCGCGGGCGCCAAAGGGCAGCCCTCCGCGCCGAGCCCTCCGCGCCCCGCCGCGCCCCCGCCGCGCCCGCCCCTCGGACCCGGAACGCTCCAGTCGGAGCCCGGGACCCACGGCCCCGGGCAGGCGCGGGGCGCCGTTGGCGATCCCGGGTCCCCCGCCGGCGCGGCCGCCCCCCGGCACCCCGACTCCGGCCCGCGCCCCGCCTCCGCCGCTCGGCCCCCTCGGCCCGCCCCGGCCCGCGGTGGCGGCAGCGGAGTGTCACGGCGCCATTGCTCTCCTTCCTCCGCTCCGCCGCGTCAGGAGGCGGCGAGCGGCGGCGCCCGCAGGGGCAGGGGCCGCGGCCTTCAGCCGGGAGGCGCGCCGGGGACCGGGGAGGGGGCCGCGGCGGGAGGAGGGGAGGCGGCCCGCCGCGGGTGGGAGGGCGGGAGGGAGCCGCCGCCGCAGCCGCCGCCTCCTCCCCGCGCCCGCCTCAACTTTTTGTACAGCGCGGAGGGGCGCGGGCGCCGGCCCCCCGCACCGCCGCGGGCTCGGGGACGCGCCGCGGAGTTGGGGCGACTCCCTCCCGCAGCCCGCGCCTCTCCGCGCGGAAGCAAACTTAGCGGCGCGGCCGCCCCACAGCCATTTTCCCGGGGAGCCCGGGGACGCGACCGGGGCGGCGCGGCGGTTCCCGCAGTTGCCGCGCTGCCCCGGGACCGGCCCCTGCCCTGCGCCCGCCGCCGCGCGTCCCGCACCCCGTCCCCACCTCCACGGCGCCCCACTGCACCGGGACCCCGGGCGGCGGCAGCAGCTGCTACCGCCGCCGCGTTCATTCACGATCCCCCGCGCCCCTCCTCCCGCCTACCAACTGCGGGAGAAGTGCGCGCTGTCAGCCCCGCGTCCTCCGCCCGCTGACCCCCGCGGGCCCCCGTCCGGGCAGCACCACTCCCGGCCGCGGCGGCAGTTCCTGCGCCCGCTTCCCCACTCGCCCGATTTACTGCCACAATCCACCAAATAACAAGCTGTTGAGCAGACTCGCTCCTACACGAACTCCCATTGGCTGCTCATGACGCCGAAGAGCTTCGGATTGGAGTTCGCTGCCTGCCGTCCTCATTGGATGTAGCGCTGAAACTTCACCGATTGGTGCGGAGAACAGCAGGTAGGACAGCTGCCACTTGTGATTGGCCGGCCCCGGAGGCCAACGTTACTGGAGAACGAGGAATTGAGTAAGCATGTCCTGAGGCATGATTGGTACAGACGACTCCGGATGTGCTTGACTGAGCACTGATTGGTAAATTGAAGGGTCAGGAAGAGCTGCTCCGCCCGAGGATTGGCGGCGGAGTGTCCCATGGAAACCGAACAGGGAGCTGCGGCCAGAGCTTACACGGGGGCGGGGCAGGGTCTTTCCAAGGCGCCTGCGCTAAGCCGGCTTCCCGGCGCCATTTTGTCTGGGCAGCGGCGGCCGCAGCTCTATCGCATTTTAGGCTTCTGGCTGGGCAGGAGCGGACTGCTCATCCCCTGAATTCATTTCAGGGCGGCGGCCATCCCCAGTTCCTTCCGGGACAGCACCTGGTGAAGGTCGGGAGGATCGCGGACCTGTCAAAAAGGTCAGTGGGAAGTTATGGGGGTCCGAGGGACTGGGGGTGGCGCAGCTCTAGCGGCGCCGACACCGGAAGTGCAGGGGCCGCCGGCAGCCATGGCGCGGCGAGCGCTCCCCGCCGCGGGGTGGGGCGAGAGGGGGCGGGCAGGCGGGGGGGAGGCGTCCTCTCCCGCCGAGGAGGAGAGAAAGAGGCGGAGGAGACGCGCAGGTCTCCCGCAGTGCGTCTTCGGGCGCCTCTCTAGGGCTTGGGATTTCCTGGACCCGCTCGTGGCCCAGCAGGTCTGCCTCTCTTTGCAAGGTGTTTCGGGACCTGGTCATATTCTCCAGCGCCGCCGACGCGGGCGCCCCCTCAATCGAGGCGGGAGCCCCGGCTTCGGGGACGTCCTGCGCGGAGAGCAGGTTTCCGCAGGCTCTGCCGGGACCGCGCCGGCTGCGGGGCGCGGGGGAGCTCAGCTGCCGGCGCCGACGCGGCGCGGGATGCTCTGTCCTCGGCCGACTGCGCGGCGCGGCCCGAGGCTTGTGCTACTTTTGAAAGGACTGAAGGTAGTTTAAAGGACCTCTCCCGCAGGACTGCGTTCAGGGCCACGTTTGAAATGGGGTGAACGAAGTAGTAATTAATACGGGCAAGTTGTTTTGAATATTGAGCTAAATGTAAAATATCGTCTATAATCCACTTTGATTAAATTGACTCAACAACAAAGACACTTGAAAGCCAAATCACGTCTTCATTCACAAATGATTTTTCACAAAATTACTTTTTAGGGAAATAAAATATATGGGGTGTTTCTGTTAGGTACCTAATCTGGGTAGGTAATTAAAATTGACCTCATGTTATGTCTGTTTTAAACCCATTTGCTGTATTGAGATTCAAGACTAGAAAATGGTTGAATGGAGTGATTTAATAACTTACTGTGTGGGTTTGTTTTTCTTTTTTTTTTTTTTTTTTTTTTTTTTTAACAACTGTGCTGAAGAAAACAGGACATACCAGTGCCGGATACCTGAAAACAATCCTGGGGTGAGTTCTAGTATTTGTAACTATCTTCAGAATTAAGGTGAACACCTGGAAAAGATTCTTATTAACCTGTAAAGTAAGAAGAACAATAAATAGGGGAAAGAGAGAATGGTAGCAAAAAGATGTTTTATTGGATCAAGTGTTTTAAGTGAGTGTATAGTTAGCTTCTTTATGTGATATTTTAGAGTGAAATCTGGAAATTAGGACAGCCTTATGAATTTGTCCATTCATGTGTTTCCTCCCTGTAAAAATTTGACACATAGAAAAGATACTGGTAATAAGAGTTCAGAAGCTTTTTTTTTTTTTTTTTTTTAAGAAAATTGTAAAACAATACAATATTGCTGAACTTTCCAGGGGGAATCACCCAAAGTCCACTACCTGACTTCAAGATGTTTTTATCTGATTCAAATAATGCATGCAGTGGGCATTTGGAAATTAATAAGAAGCCAAAAGAAAAATCTCGTGTATTCTTTCCATCAGAAGATAGAAGTTATATTGTACTTACATTTTATACAGAGGATTTTCTCTCTCTCATTGGCTTTGTTTTACCAAAAAAACCCAAACAACATTCTAGTTGTGTTCATTTTGTCATTCATTTTTTTCTTTATGGAAAACATTGGGAATATGGGATATAATTTTGTTCATTAAGCATTTTTCATGGCTTATGACTGCATAATGTCCATGATACATGAGTATGTGTTATATTCGGATCTTTTAATTTTCCTACAATAGTGATAACGTATCAGTACATTCCTTTGTATATGTTTTGCAAAAGATTTTGTGTGAGAACTGACATCAGTGGCTAAAATTTCTAGGCATCTAGATCTCCGTTCACATCCCCTGATCATTATTTATTTTAGAGTAAATTCCCAGAAGTGGAAACACAAGGGCAAAAGGATTGTGCAAAGAAGGTTCCAGTCCTCTATAATTGTCCATCAGAAAGCTTTTCTGTTTTTTTTTGTTGGCTTTATTTTCACTTTCTCTCCCAAGTTTGTTTATTGAAGTAGAATTACCACCATCTTTAAGTCACAAAGTAACCTAATTTGAGGATTTTTCTTGAATCTCCTGAGTGAATCTGTTACTGATTTACTTTTTCTTCTAGAATAGCTAGACATTTGTATGTGAAACATTTTGCTACATGAAAAGTGACATTTAGAGGGTAAGAATAAATAAGTGGCTTCCCTGTCAGAGCTAATAGAGTTTAGCTACTTTGTTTCCCTGTTAGTCTTCCTTAAAGGTTTTTGTCCACATGTACATTCTCTTGGTGGTTATGGTGCCCTCAAAGGAGCCTGGATATGCCTCTCTTCATCACAAATACTTTGCAGTTGTTTGACTCTCCTGCGTGTGGTTTTTGAGACTACTCCAGACAGCTGCAACAAGGTTTTATTACTGTTAATGTCTCCCTAATAGATGATAGATGCTCTGTAAATATTTCTTATGAATCTCTTTGCACATTTGTATATGAAGTGTGAAATAAGCTGACTTATGTTTTCTTTAACAATAATTCTCTTCTACAAAATTCATATTTCACAGATGCTATCTGAACATTCAAACTTTAATGTTCCAAATACTTTGTTTCTTAGGTATATATGAAAGAAAATTGTGATAGAAATGTTTTTTGTAACCTATTTCAGTGAACCTAAATTAATAGAACGCAAACCAGATTATCAAGTGTTTAATGTTTCTGTGAGGAAAAACTGTTTTGAAAGCAGAATGTTTTAGTCAAGAGATGAGTTTACCTAAGTAGCGTCCCCACATGGTATTTTAATCTGAAATCTCAAAACAACCCCTGTTTTGTTTACCCATTCTTTTGGTTCCGTTTTCTAAATTTTTGATCAAAACGCTGTGAACATTTACATAATTTTTTTTTTTTTTTTAGCCATGGTAAAATACCTGACATCATAAGGATCATATCAGTGTTTAGAAACCTTTTTTTTTTTTTTTTTTTAAGTAAATAATAAAAGAGTCTGTTTTGAGTGTATGGGCTATAGCATACTCAAAACTAAAAGAAGTCTCTGTCTTCTAGAGTAAACTTCATTTTGGTAAAATTTAGTAGAGTGCTACAGTTTTTAAAGACCTGGATATTATCTGCTAAAAATTCTGTTTCTGGCATACAGTTCTATTTAACTTTAATCTTTTAGTAGTTGAGATTGTCCATCTCACTATTATACAGTAGGTAGATAGATACAGGTATTTTTTGGAATATGTCAGAATTTGGCCCATTGTACAGCCACCTCTTGTTTGTGGAGATTAGAACAGATTGCTGTGCTGAATGCAGTTGCTTTCCTAATAATTTTGTTGGCTTTTGGAACTTCCATAATATGGTTATTTGTAACTAAAGCAACCTTTGTGATCTTTTCATGGTCTTTTTGCCCTGTTAGATGTCAGTACTGATTTTATTTCCACGTGGTGTCATAGATAGTGTTTTTCTCTCATAGCCTATTTAAACTAGAATGGCAGCGTATTTTAAGATTTGAATTCAAACTGTTCCAGGTTACCTACTGGTATTCCTACATGGCAGGAATGTATGCTCAAGGAACTTACTGTCAATAAAAGAGAAAGCATAATTAAATGTGTGGGAAATCAACACAGTTATTTCAAAAGATGCAGTTTAGATAAGTTTGAAGAACTTAAATCATTACTCAGGAGAACAGATTTGTCAATATTCAGTATACAATTGGATCTAATTGATTTCTAAAAGATAATTTGTTTTCTAATACAGAACAGAATTTATTTAGTTGTCATTGAAAGCTTTTCAAGGAAAGTGAGATAGAATACATAAAATTAGAAGAAAAGATTCTAGTTGGATGGAAGGTTACAAGAATGCATTTAGATGAAGAAAGCTGTGTTTAGGACAGTGGATAAATAAAACAGTTGGGAGAAGATGACTGACTAAAGATTGCATTGGGAAAATTATGTGGGACCAAGTTGTCCTTGGTTCTAGGATTAGCTGCATATTAGAACTTATGAGGTATTTTACCACTATGCCTGCTTAGAATAAATGGCCGAATATTTAGGAAAAGCTCAATACTAGATAGTGGTGTTAGTTTGTAGATAGTGGTGTATGTTAGAGAACTTTAAAATATATTATGTAGATATAGAAGTAAAGCATCTAGACTCTTTGCCACCCATTCAAAACTCTCCTGAAGGTCGTATTAACCTCTTTCCAAAGTTAACTTTTTCCTTCCTTGCATCTGCTGCAGTCATACTAAACTATCATAGCTGCCCTATAGAAGCTATGTGCTTTCTCATTTTTGTATTTTCAGTAATACTTCAACCAACATCTGCAGTGTTACCCTCCTGCCACCCATGTTCAGATACTACTTTATTTATGTAAAGCTTTCCTTTGTATTTATATAACTATAGGTAATTTGTCCATATGAATTTTATCTATTTTCTCTTTCATGATTACTACCCCTTTATATATTGTATTTTGGTTTTTTATCCTATTACATCCTTTAATAGGGAATGTGATCATTAATAGACTGAGACTGTACCTTATTCACCTGTGTAAGTTGGAACCTGTCACAGACCTTGGCACGTATTAGCATCTCGTTTGTGGAGTGAAAGTTACAGCAAACTAAAAGGTGACAGTTAATGGCCAGTAAAAATGTGCTTTGTCAGTGTTTGGTACGCAAAGAACATCTTGCCTGATCATTTACTGAAAATAAGGTCACTTGAGGTTTTAGGGCTGGGGTTATAGTCAAGAATATGTAGTGAGTAGAGCACTATGGCACTATCTACAGGTCAAAATTTTTCACTAGAATGTTTTCTTGTTTTTTTTTTTTTTTTTTTTAAAGACCAATTACCCTCTGGAAGGATTGATCGTTTTTCTGGCAGTTACTGATTTTTCATAATCTACCTGATGGCAAATCTTCCTCATAACCACTAGTCCAAATTTATGAAAAGTTTGACCAGGACTAAAAGACATATCTGCTGCCTATAACAGAATATACAGTCATCTGGCTCTGTTATTGAATTCATAATCTCATTCTGTAGGTACATTTTTTTTCTTATCACAATACCAAAAGGCCTCTTGTAGTCTGAGAATAGGAACTGAGTGGAATTTCTTGAGGAAGACATTTATTTGATCTTTGACTATAATATTTATTGATAGAGTCTTGGCTTCTATTCTAGAGTTAGAAGGAAAGGGTTGGAAATAGTTAAAATACCATACTTGTAGTAGGTATTCATAGATCTAAAGCAGTAATTTTTGTACTCTTAGCTCAGAAGTTCTCAGGATTATTAAAATAGTTCAGTAAGATACTGAATTATGTAAATATTCTAATATACAAACTGAAATTAAAAACCAACTATTCTGTGTTGTAATTTTAAGCCTGTTCTCTTTGGTCATGATCTGGGATCTAGCACTCTTTGTGCATGTTTGCTTTTAGAATTTAAGGACCTTGGCACTGGGTTTTTACAGCTCTTGATATTTAGAATTCCAGTCCTGGACCATATATTTTAAAACAAGAATTCCTGTTCATACTTCTGATATCTCTCCCTGCCTGAAAGGTTAACTAATAATTAGCAACTCCTCAGAATCAGAATTATCAAATGTTGACTTATTTTAGCACTGGAGGAAGTTGCCGTTATTCCTGATGCATAGGATCAAACTCTGACAGAAGCTTTAATGTCCTTTCTTTCTCACTTTACCTTATTTTACTTAGCAAGTATTCTTTTTTTTCTTTAAGATTTATTTATTTATTTATTTATACAAGCACTGGGTACAGTCAGAATCGAGGGAGGGTGAGTGAATTCACCAGTGCCAGAGCTGAGAGCAGAGCAGGCAAACTGACGAAGTACACTGCTGAGGGGAGCAGCAGGTGGCAGGAGAGGTCTGCGTGTCATGTGGGACCCTCGCTGGTGGCTGGGGATCGAACCGGCACTGCAGAGGCTGCGGGCAGCTTCCCAACCCAGCGCACAACCACTGTGCCTTGGGGGAGGCTGCAAGTATTCTAATTGCTTTCATTGACTGCCTCAAGATTTGAAACAGTAACTTGAACAAGGTACCTGTTAATTTCATTGTGGTGAAACTTTGTATATGTTGCCCACACAGTAACAAATGAAAGGACAGTGTATTCTGGTATTTTCCCCTGTAATTCATTAAAAAAAAAAAAAACCAAAAAACTCTTGACACCAAAATTGACTTCATGATTTTCTTTGGGTCTCAACCCGCTTTTAGGGAGGTGGGGAGGAATAGACTAGATAATACTATTTTATGTTTATTTGGTAGTTTGTGTATGTTAGGCACTTTGATATACCATTATACCCTTAAGTATAATATGTTAAAAGTTAAGATATAGGGCCTCCCTGGTGGCACAAGGGGTTAAGAAACAACCTGTGAAGCTATCCGCAGCCACTACAGCGCTAGTTCGATCCCCAACCAGGCAGCTACCTACATGGATGGCACAGCAGACCTCTCCTGACTCGCCTGCTGCTCCCCTCAACTGCATATTTCAGTCAGTCTGCCTGTTCTGTTACCTGCTTTGTCTCTGGTGAATCCTCTCACCCCCACACCTCTGGCCTATACCCCAGTTCTTGTATGCAAAAATAACTTTTTTTTTTTTTTTAAGATTGATTTAAGATATAAATTGTTACCTGAAAATACTCTAGTTGTTATACCAACAATGTAATTGGGGTAGTGGGGGGAATGTGAGGAGACTTATGGTATGTTTGGTACAATGTTTTTCAGTCTGCTAATCCTGATGGCCTATTTAGGGGGGTATATTTACATTTGAGTTTAGGGTTACCTCAAATCCCTTGGCAAGCATAAACAAAAAAAAAAAACTTTTCCAAGTTTTTAGGTCCCCTCAAACCAAACCAGAATATTTTATTTTTATTTATTTTTTTAAAATTTTTTTTTTTAATAGAGGCATGTTTTTATTTATTTATTTGTTTGTTTTGTTTGTTTATACATGCACTGGGTACAGTCAGAAGCACGGGAGGGTGAGAGAATTCACCAGAGCCAGAGCGGGAGGCAGAGCAGGTAGAAGGACCGAAGTACACTGCTGAGGGGAGCAGCGGGCGGCAGGAGAGGTCTGCGCGCCATGTGGGACCCTCCTCCGGTGGCCGGGGAGCAGCCGGGGATTGAACCGGCGCCAGAGGCCGTGGGCAGCTTCGCAACCCAGCACTCCACCGCTGCGCCACTGGGGAGGCCCAGAATATTTTATTTTAAAATCTTTGTGTTTCTTAATCTTTGTGTGCAGTCAAGCTACTTTCAATGTTTGTATGATTTTGGAGACTTAGATCTTGGTCAGACAAGACAAAAAAGGGGGATTTTATATGAAGAAGCATTACACTTTAAAAAAGCCATCTTCCTGTTTCTAATTTCTCCATGTATCATGTGATACTGTCGTTAAAGTCTTTAAATTTGCAAGGGAACCTTGGTAACAGGCAAATTTTTGTTTTTTCTCTCAAGTTTGAAGTTCTGTATTTTATTACAGCCATGAAGAACTAGTCTGTTAACTAGTAATTATTTAAGCCACAAAACTTGCTTCTCTGTGCCGCCAAGTACTTCCTGTTTTGTCAGATTTCCTTTTAGGGAAGAGAATAGCTTTAGAGTAGATGAGCCGAGTTTCATGTTTAAAACTTCTCTCCTGAAATTGTTTGGAAGCTGTCCAGATATCTAGATGGGGAGAAAACTAAATGCTTGTCATGTCTATGCATGAAGTCATTTGTCAGAAAGCTTCAATTTGGCTTTGTATCACCAAAGAGGACTGCCAGCCAGGAAGGAAGAGAAACTTTCCTTGTCAGAAATGTAGGACTTGCCAACTTTGTGGCCTGCCTTTAGGCTTTCCATGTCAAACATACTCAGTTGGTGAATGAATCATTATAGTGTCTTGGAAGTAAGAGTATGTGCTCATTTCTAATATTTTCTCTAGAAATGTGCAACAACTGCATTTAGGCACATTTGCTCCATTTTTCAGTGGACACGGGTAAAAGGTGATTAGAAAAATATCTGGGGCACAAAAGTAACAGTAAAATGATTTTAAGAAGCTTTTGCAATGAAAATAGTAAATATAACAGTTATATATTAAGTCACATGTTTTATCCTATGAAACTTATAATAAAACATATCAGTGTAAAACATACTTTCAAAATAAACCCTGAATCCCTTCATCTTCCTGGTAAGGGATCTTGTGTTGAAGTTCTCTTGCAGTAGCATATCTTAGCCCTTCTGTAAAATTGTCTTTTACCAAATTAACTTGGCCTGCCATAAGACAGACCATTTTCTCTTTCTTGACTTGTCAATAAAATATGAAAGATGTCATTTAATCCATGAATAATTAGGCCATTTGTTTTCCTTATAGGCTCCCTGACTCTGTCCCTTCATGTTGGAAATGTTGATGCTGAACAGTTAAGATATTTGAAACCATCTACTGGAAAGTTTTTGCCAGATGTTTCATCTTTTAGGTATGTATAACTACTTCTGATGCATATACTTCCTAAAAATCAAAGGAAATAAAATTTCCTTAACATCATCCCCTATAAGTGTCATCTCCACTTGGCTTTGTAATAGAAACTTCCATATCTTGAAACACCTTTAAGTAATCCATTTCTGTTGCCATGTTGTCCTTTCAGTAATCTGAGTACAAATGATTCTCAAACTTTAGTGTAGTATTTATACTGTCATATACTTGTTAAAATTGCAGAAATTTGGTCTTTTCACATCCGACCTAGTGAATTCAAATCTATGGCGAATACTTACGCAGGTGGTCTGTGCTTTTTTTTTTTTTTTTTTTTTTTCTAAAGATTCATTCTACTTATGCCTACAAGAGCTGGAGTATAGGCCAGAGATGCAGGGTGGGGGTGGGCTGAGAGGATTCATCAGAGAAAGACAAGGAGCAGAACTGGCAGATCCACTGAAACACACTGCTGAGGGGAGCGGCAGGTGAGACAGGAGAGGTCTCCTTCACAATATGGGTTAGCTCCCTGGCCAGGGATGGAACTCCTGCTGAAGTGACTGTAGATAGCTTCATAGTGCTGAGACTTAACCCATTGCGCCACAGGTGGCTTTTGAACTAATTTGAGAATTTATGTACCATGTGCATAAAATCTATCCTTCATATTCTTACATAGTCTTTTTTTTGTTTTGAATATTGTCAGCTAAGTTTTTTCCTTCTATTTGGTATCTTGAGGTTTTCTCCTAAATTCACTGATCAGAGTTCATGCACCAGATCTCCAGAAAACTGTCCCAAATTCCCTTCCTTATTTGGAAGGATTTATCACCCCTACCCCATCTCCAAGGCATATTTGTTGTTCAGTATATACAGTATATTTCTTTTTTTTTTTTTTTAAAATAGAGGCATGTTATTTATTTATTTGTTTGTTTGTTTATACATGCACTGGGTACAGTCAGAAGCGCGAGAGGGTGAGAGAATTCACCAGAGCCAGAGCGGGGAGCAGAGCAGGCAGAAGGACCTAAGTACACTGCTGAGGGGAGCAGCGGGCGGCAGGAGAGGTCTGCGCGCCATGTGGGACCCTCCTCTGGTTGCCGGGTAGCAGCCGGGGATCGAACCGGCAGGGCAGAGGCCGCAGGCAACTTCGCAACCCAGCGCTCAACCGCTGCGCCACCGGGGAAGCCCCTATACAGTATATTTCTATACTGGTTGCCTGTATATGTACTTTTAGGTACCTTGCTTGTGATTTTTAATTTTTAATGTGCTGGGGTTTTTTTGACAGGAAAGAATTCTTTCTTACACATTTTTGTTTTAAAATTTTCCTGGCAAAATGACACATCATGGCACATCCAGATGTTTGCATTGAATCTTTACAGCTACCACTTGGTTGCTGCGGACTGTGAAAACAGTCTACCAAGCATTATCACTGGACCTCCAATTCTTTATATCATACCCCTTCTCTTGATGCTGTCTTAAGAGTAATTCTCCCATACTGTATTGGGCTTCAAGTTTGGTGGCTTTTCCTGGAAAAAAAATTTTTTTTAATTCCCATTCCTATATGGATCATTATAATAGTTCAACTCTTAAAGTGAATTTTCCTAAATATCCACTTTGTGATTTCACGTGGTAACAAAGTCCAAACAAAAACTGGGGTGTAGGATCTGCTGTGCCATGTGGGTCAGCTCCCTGGCTGGTGATAGACAGCTTGATAGCACTATGTCTTTAACCCCTGCACCACCAGGGAGGCCCTCCAGTATTTACTTTTTAATAGGAGTTACATTATGAACTGGAAGAATACATATAACTTCTTGAAGGGGATGGTTTGGTCAAAGTAGAAACATTAGTTTTATAGTTTGTATTGTCTGTTCAAATCTTTTACCCACTTTAAAATTTTGGGTTGTTACTGAATTTTTAGAATTCTTAGTGTATTCTGGACACTTGCCCTTTGTCGTATATGTAATTTATAGAGTTGCTCTTGTCTTTTCATTCTTCTATTTTTTGGGAAGCACTTAATTTTGGAGAAATTCAGTTTCTGGATTTTTTTATTGTGTGTCATGCTTTAGATATAGTCACAGTCAGAGCTGATCTGTTTTCTTCTAGGAGTCTGAGGTATATTTTGGCTTATGATCACTTTCACTTTCTGTATACGGTAAATAGTATGTTTTGGGGTTATTTTTTTTTTTCAGTGTTGGTTTTTTGGTACACGGCTATATATCATTGTTTCCATTTGTTGAAAAGCATTGCCTTTTCACATCAGTCAATTGACCGTGTTTGTGAATCATTTTTGGACTGTTTCATTAGTATCTACTACATTAATAGTGGGTTAAATTGGGCCTCCCCGGTGGCGCAGAGGTTGAGCGCTGGGTTGCGAAGCTGCCCGCAGCCTCTGCAGTGCTGGGGCCAGCGAGGGTTCCACATGGCTCATAGACCTCTCCTGCCACACACTGCTCCCCTCAGCAGTGCACTTTCTCAGTCTGCCTGCTCTGCCCTCTGCTCTGACTCTGGTGAATTCGCTCACCCTCCCGTGCTTCTGACTGTACCCAGTGCTTGTATAAATAAATAAATAAATCTTTAAAAAAAAAAAAAAAAAAACCAAAAAAAAATCAGTAAATTAAATCAAGTAGTATGGATCCTTTTCTCAAAACTATTTTTTGGCTATTCTAGTTCCTTATATAAATTTTGTAACAGCTTGTTTCTTTATATGCTGGTTACTAAGTCTCTTAGGCATTTGATTGGGCTTATGTGAAATTTAGAGAGTTCTGATAGCAATTGTCAACTGAACTGTTTTATTTCATCAACATTTTATTAATCTTTATCATAAAACCTGGCACAAATTTAAATTTATACTTAAGTATTCCTGGTTTTGATGGTATTTTAAAAGGTTTATAATCTTTACTTTATAGATGAGGAAATTAACTTGCTCAAGGTGACACAATTATTAAATTACAAAGGCAGTTTGAAATCTGCCTAAGCTTATAAAACACTATCCTGGGTTTTAATTACAATACTAGTTTTCTGTTTTGAAGTTGTGGTTGCAGGGGTGGCAGAGAGGCACTCCTAACTTCTTCTAATAAGAAAAATCCCATTACCATGCTTCTACAAAAAATTTTGGTTTCCTTAAAGTTTAGATCTCATATTTTTAATTGAGCTTGCTTTTCCAAATGTTTACTTAGCAAACCAGCTTATCTCAATTTGTCTCTGATCAATACAGTTGTAAGATGAAGTTTTTAAATAGTATACCTTATCCTGCACTTAACTAGCATCTGACTGTCTGTGTGGTCACTAGTATAGAGTTACAAAGACAGGATGCGATCCAAGGGCATGGAGGGGAGAAAGAAGGAATAACGCATTTATTTTATTATAGTAACTTCCCTCATAGATGCATACACATAGTGTTAGAACAAAAGCTTTACTTCGCCAGGATTAAGAGTTGCAGTAGTATTACTCATTTTATGTTCAGAGTTCCTTTAAGAAAAAAATTGATAACTATTAAGTGGGAAATATGATCTCAAGAGGGAGAAATCTGAATTTTGAAAGAATTTCTTTGGCAGTTGATACAGGAGTCCTTAGGAAAGAACAGTTAGAAAATAGCCAGGCACGGTGAATACAATATGGGTATGTGCAGAAAAGTGAAATAGAAGTCTTGTCTAGATTACATTTTGGAATTCGAAAGACATTAGTTTGAGTGTTCTACATTGACATTTTTCATTTGTGGATTTATTCTATTTTTTTTTTAACGGTGTTTTGTAAGTAGATATTTTTACATAATGACCAAAAAAAAAATTTTTAATCTTAATTTGCTGTTGGATTAATTTGTCATTGTAATTTTCTCTTTAAATCTTAAGAGTAATGTTAGTTAAAAATATTGATGACGTAAAACAATTTTTTCTTATTTTTCAGGTATCTTTATGAATGGCAGAAACAAAAGCAAATGGAGTCTTGTCAGATAAGTGGTTTTATAATCTAAATTATTTTTACTCTCTAAACTAAATGTTTATTCTTTGAAACATTTTTTATTTTTTATTTTTTTTAGGTACCAATAGCAAGAAGATTTACAGTAGTAAGGTACTGAATCTTTTCTGGAAATAAAATTGTAATCTTGTCAAAGTAAAATGTAGCAGTCTTATTTCTCCCCTACCCCACAGAAGTAATCATATCTCATTACTAGTAAGTTACAAAGTGCCTTTATAGGGGCCTCTGTGGTGGCCCAGGGCTTAAAGTCTCAGCACTACACTGCTCAAGACCCACCACAATGGCTTGAGTTTGATCCCCTACCAGGGAGCTAACCCATATATGGCACAGCAGACCTTTCCTATCTCACCTGCTGCTCTCCTTAGCAGTGTGTTTCAGATCTGCCTGTTCTGCTCCAGTTCTGCCTTGTTCAAGAGTAGAAGGTCCATGTGCTACTTATACTTCGGAAAAGTATACAATAACCCGATACTCTTTTCCAGGATAATCATCTTATGAAGTTAAATCTCTCTGTAGGTAGGTTTAATGTTGTTCAAGTTTTTACCCACGACCAGCATCATTCTGAGGTAAATGAGTAGCTAAGTAATTGTATTAATACAGGACAGTAGCCATATTAATTTGATACTGATTTGAGTTGCATGTATAATATAAACTACACACGTGCTCAGAGTCCAGCAATACCCCACTGCTAAGTTCAATGACTAGATTACTTTCTTAGAAAGCATGACAGTTTTAAGGGAACGATACTGGCATGAACCCAATAAAAAGGGTGTGTCTACCTGGCCTCAGTTCAAATTGTTTCTTCCTGCTTGGAGTGTTAGTTGAGGTTGTTAACAGTCGTTCTTCCTAGTTACAAGACTGATTATTCCATTTAGTAACATATCTGCTTACAGAGCACTTCCACATACATTCTGGGTTTTTTGGCAGAAAATATGGCTATTTCTATTTAAGTGACAGGATAGGGACTTTGGATCCTTAAGTCCACTCCTCACCACAATGAAGAAAAAAAGTATTTTTGACCTTTCAACCTGTTAAACATCTGTCTTGTGTATCACTTCCAGAAGGTTAACAGTGACTAATAACCAACAATAATTTTGGTAAATAAAAAACTGGGCTATGGCATCATTTGCCTTTAGGTACTTTTTATATACTGTATCTTAGCTAGATACAATCTTTAGATTCTAGTTGAGTGATGAGCCCTGAATTAATCTGATTCCAAAGCATGTTTTTTTTTTTTTTGCAGTATTTTAATGCTGAGTAAATATGTGCTGAATTATCCCCACAAATTTTGTCAAGCAGATATTAACCAGACTTCAGTCATTACAAGACAAAAGTTTAATGAAAACTGGTTAATGGATATGTAATAATCCAGTAAGCGAAATAGTTACATGGGACCATATTAGAAATTTAAAACAGATGCTGAAGTAAATGTTACATATTATCATCATCTGATTCATCTTCTTCCTTCAAAGATTCCTATTAAGAGAAAAATAGTATTTAAAATCAACTTTTAATATTGCTTTAACAACTGGAATCAATTCATTAAGCACCTGTCATTAAAAATTCTTTGTAACTGAAAAATGAACACTTTTAGAATAAGACACACAAGTAAAGGATAATAAGTGTATCTTGCTCTAACAATAATTATGTTCTTGGTAAAATACAGTATGAATGCAGTAAATGTCCCCCCCAAATTCTTGTCATTTGCACACAAAAACTTTTTGGAATCAGATCAACTTTATCCCCTTGAAAATTCCATTCGTGGTTTAGCTCAACTCGTGTTATTTAGAAATAGAATCAACCAAGTTCTTTTATTCACTTATTTCCATGATACCTTCAGCAAAGTAAGTTTTCAGTGCTGTGGCTTACCTTAGCATATTTCTCTGCCTCTTCCCTTATATCTTTTGGAACAATTTCATGTCTTCCTTTAGTTACTGAAAATTAAGGCAAACATTCAAATGAATTAAAAATGAGGACTAGATTATTTGCTAATACCATACAACCTGCACAGATATACAAACCCACTTAATATGTAAAACTGTACTTCGTAGTACCAGACACGTTGAACACATCTTTGTTTTTTCTCCAGATGAGATTAAATTTGTAAAAACGTTAGCTTAGAACAAAGATTACACTATGATTTATCCTGATGATATGATAAATCCTGAGTACTTGTTAATACACAGTATGTGTTTTTTTTTTTTAAGGCTAGCCTTAAAGTCCTGTGCTACAAAGAAAAAATTGGTGATTCCTTAGTAATAACTGAAAAATATGAAAAGGATGTTTAAAAAAAGGGTATATTGTTCAGAACTTTCTTCAAAAAGAGACTACCTGGTAAATCTAATCTGGCTTTCTTTTGTATTCGCCACCCAGTGATTGGGATAAATTTATGCAATACCCACTGCAGCTGAACATGTTTATATTTCATCATCCACTAAAATTCCACTTTTTATGTATAATACCAACAGAAATGCTACATTTGTGTACCAAAATAACCATATAAAATGTTGCAGAAACATTATAGTTTTAAAAAAAGGCTACCAGGGCCTCCCTGGTGAGGCAAGGGATTAAGCACAGCACTATGAAGCAATCTGCAGCCTCTGCAGCACAAGTTCAATCCCTGGCCTACCAGGGAGCAACTCACATGGAGCAGCAGATCTTTCCTGACTCGCCCCCTGCTCCCCTCAGCAGTGTATTTCTGTCAGTCTGCCTGTTCTTTTCCCCACTCTGGTGAATCCTGTCACTCCCCACGCCCTGCATCTCTGGCCTGTACCCCAGCTGTTGTATGCATAAATAAACCAATCTTTAATATTAAAAAAAAAACTACCAAATTGTCCAACAGAGAAAATGTATAAACTGGTACATAAAACAACACACACCATGAAGCAAGTCAAACAAGTATTACTATATAAGACATGATTTGTACAAATACAACACTAAAGTTACGGACAAGAGAGTTTATAGTGTAATTCCATACAAGCAAAACAATTCATGGTGTTAGAATTAAGGATACTGGTTACTCTGGGAAGACAGTGGACAGGGATTTCAAGGACACTCAAAGGGTCACCTTGGGAGGCTAGTCAATTTTTAACTGTGACTTTTCTATATATAAATAAATTATTTTAAAAATTAAAGGCAGTTGGGCCTCCCCTGGTGGCGCAGCGGTTGAGCGCTGGGCTGCGAAGCTGCTCGCAGCCTCTGCAGCGCCGGTTCAATCCCCGGCCACCGGTGAGGGTCCCACATGGTGCGACAGACCTCTCCTGCACCCGCTGTTCCCCTCAGCAGTGTACTTTGGTCCTTCTGCCTGTTCTGCTCCCCGTTCTTGCTCTGTCTCACCCTCCCGCGCTTCTGACTGTACCCAGTGCTTGTATAAATAAATAAATGAATAAATCTTTTTAAAAAATTAAAGGCAATTGGTGGCAAATTAGATTAACTATAGATGACTCCAAGAATGAATAAATGTACAAAAGTAACTTACATTCACCAACCCAGCTGAGCTCTAATTCAAAAGCTTTATCCTTAACTTCATCATGTACTATATAAATTCTAGAACAGAAAAGAAAGATCATTTGGTCATCTACACACATACTTCATGCACCCAGTCACTACAAATTATTAAATATCTAACCCTAATATTAATATTTATAAAATTATACACAGATAGACTTATTACAAACATTAGAAAAGACAAAATATACAAGGGTTGATATAAAATTAAACAGTACACATGATTCAATATAAACGTACAACAAACCTGGCTGTGTTTTTAATACTGTTTTAAAAGACATAAACCTCGTAAGGAACACAGATTCAAACAGGAAAAAAGCCATCATTTACCTCTTGTTTCAGGTTTTTTTCATTTATTAACTACTTAATTTTAAGACATACTGATTAATGTGCTTGCAATTTTTAGTGGTGTCTCTAATCTGCAGCTATTTGACAAGAATCTTTTTAAACATCTTGTCAATTTTATAAGAATTATATTCTACTCAACCTGGTCTTCAAACATGAACAAGCAATGACAAGCACTACATTGTAGTAAACAGAGGGAACATCAAACAATATATTAAAAGTATCAAAAAATTATCAGGAAATCTTTCTTATTTTAGTTTTCATCCTTACAGTTACTGTGGAGGTCTTCCTGAAGCCTTGCTGTAATACAAGATAGCATTCCTAGTGCTCCTTTTTAGAAAATGATAAAAGGGATGGCTCTGTACATGGATATAACCTGGTCATAAAAGGAGTGGGACGGGCTGATTTCTAGAAGCAATTTTGGTTAAGGAAATTGAGTTTACCATTTTAAACTGTTGGTCAGTTCAGTAAGGACTATTTAATTTCTTTAAGTGGCTCTATCATATGCTAGTTCCCAGTTTTCCTAAGTTACTAACTAATCACAATGAATTCTTCACAATAAACTGGAAGGGTTCTAATAGTAAAGGGGGTGGTGCAGTAGCAAAACTGGTAAAAATAATTAGAAAATTACAAAGCACATATGAAATTTTGATACACTCAGGATTACCAAAATAGAATGTATTTTCAGCATAGAAGAGCCCTCTAGGATTTCTATCATTATCATAAAACCGGAGACACACAAAGAGCTAACTAATCTGTGTTCATGTAATTCTAATGTGCAATAGTTTCAGGTGCTGTGAATCTGTGGAGTGCTGTTATTTTAAAATTTTAAATGCTGGCTGCAAAAATCAGCATTTCATTGCACTTTTTTGTTTGTTTACCAAATGCTTGCATTCTTTGATCTGGAAGAATCATGAATTCTGAACCACTGCCACTCAGGTTTACTGACTTTTGTTGCTCACTATCCTGTGTTATGTAGCATTCTACTGTCATAAATCACTTAAAGCCCTTTCAGGCTGTTTTTAAATGTTTTTGAAATACTGCTCACCTCATCTTATTACAAAAACTTTCATGATTGGGGCCTCCCTGGTGGCCCAAGGGGTTAGATCTCAGCACAATGAAGCTATCCACAGCCACTGCACAAGTTCTATCCCTGGCCAGGTAGCTATCCACATGGCAACAGCAAAACACTATCTTGCCCTCTGCTCCCCTTAGCAGTGTATTTCAGTAGATCTGCCTGTTCTGCTCCCCACTCAGTCTCTGGTGAATCATCTACCCCCACTCCTGCATCTCTGTCCTACACCCTAGTTTTTGCATGCATAAATAAGTATTAAAAAAAAAAAAACAAAAACTAAACTTCCGGGCCTCCCCGGTGGGGTGGTGCAGCGGATTGAGCGCAGCCTCTGCAGCACCAGTTTGGTTCATCTCCTGGCTGGCCAAGGGGATTCCCACAAGGTGGGGCAGACCTCTCCTGCTTCATCCCCTGCTCCCCTCAGCAGTGTACTTCGGTCCTTCTGCCTGTTCTGCTCCCTGCTCTGTGTCTGGTGAATTCTCTCACCCTCTTGCGCCTCTGGCCTATTCCCCAGCTCTTGTATAAATAAAATCTTTTAAAGAAAAATAACTTTCATTATTAAGATACATCTTTCCCAGAGAAACAGATTATAAAAATAAGCAGGCTTTGTGGACCATGTACAGACATAATTGAGTATAAACTTAGAGGTTCACCACATCTATTTAGATGAATTCTGTCACCTACACAGTCCATTGTCAAAAGCTATTTTTTTCATCTCATTATCTCTTGAAATACAGAAAATATCATTTATGTGACTTCTGAGAATGTTAAATTCACCTTCTAATAATGATGCACTGAACTATTTTTTAGCAAAACAGTCTCTTAGAATTATGTATAAGTAATGGCAAGAAAATATTTTTGTCAATGGTTAGGAAAATTTCAACTTACATTTTTGCAACTTCTTTAACAACATCACGGCAGGTCATTTCTTTCATCTACAGAAAATATATTAAATTATGTGTCAAAAGGAAAACATACCACTTTGGTAACTATTTTTCAGATTCTTTTCAGGAGTTCTACCAACCTCTAATGCTCCTGATAGCTGCATACATAAAACTTAGCAAAATCACCTAAAATGATTTTAAATTACTACACTGAAAGAGAGTCTTGGCAACCCCTGGCTGGGAACTAATTCTGTGGTATTAAAATTTATAAGAATGCAGATCCTCTAAAACTATTCATAGGCACCCCTTATGTTTCAAAGACTGAAAAAATCTTTTTATAGCCAATTTAGAAGAATAAAATGCAAACAAACTGTGACTACCTACTATACAAAAGATAAAGAGAGATGAAGGCATAAGATAAATTGTCCCTCATGGAAACTACTCAAGACAAAAATATAAAATGTCAAAGCTTTGACAGAATCAAGATTTGACTGGGTCCTTAGAACACACATTGGACTTACTTTGATTTCAAGGAAGATACACAAAGCAGAAGAGGAAAACCAAAATATTTTTTCATATCATAGGTTATATAGTATTCTTACAATGAACTTTTCAAAGTAGGATAGAAAATAGCACTTAAATGCCTGGCTGAGGAGTTTATACAGTGCAGGTACGGGAAAGAACCAGCAGATGCAGGATCTATTAGGCATATGTGTTTCTGAATACACAAGATTTTTTAAAAAGTCTGAGCAAACTGGCATATGCTAAGAATGGAAAATGGTTAGAGATAAGCAGTTCAGGCTTAGATGACTCAATTACTGCATCTCTAGAAATCCTGATGCTTCTAGCTGCCTGTACAGGAGACAGAAAAAAAACAGAAAATTATAATGGAAAGAGAGAACTCAAGATATAAGAAACAAATGCAATGTATGAACTTTAAAGATTTTTTTTTTTAATTTTATTTTTATACAAGAACCAGGGTACAGGCCAGATGCACGGGAGGATGAGAGGATTCACCAGAGACAGAGCAGGGAAAAGAACAGGCAGACTGGCGAAATACACTGCTGAGAGGAGCAGCAGGCGAGACAGGAGAATCTGCTCGCCATGTGGGATTCTCACTGGCCAGCCGGGATTGAATCCGCGCTACAGAGGCTGCGGACAGCTTCATAGTACAGCGCTCAACCACCTGCGCCACCAGGGAGGCCCCTCAACGTATGAACTTTATACTGTAATTTGAAAAAATTATGACACTGTTGAGATTACTGAGGCACTTATACTGAAGATTGAATATTAGATGATATATTTGATAATGTTATTCTAAGGAGATGAATGCTGAAGTATTTACGGATCAATGTCATGGTATCTGTAATTTTTGTTTAAAGTATTTCAGAAAAAATATTGGAAAATAGTAACTGTTCAATCTACATGGAAAGGTTTATTATACTATTCTGTTGTTTAAATTTTTTTATATTGGGAGTGAAGAGAAGGAAAAGAATACCCACCCTTATGCTTTTGCCTTTATAGGTTAAGTTCTGTATTTAGAAAAACATTGTATTATACAAAGGCACATTTTAAATGATAAATTTTTATATAAGTTCATGAAATTTTTATAAAATAGTGTTTTTGATAAATAACATCAGAAAAAGACAATGATGTTGAGGAGGATTCAGGAAACTCAGTAAAGGGCCAAAGAGTAAATATTTTAGACCTTATGATCCATTTGATCTTTGATACCTGTTCCAACTATTAAATTCTACTGTTTGAAATCAGCCAATTCTGAATGTGATTGTGTTCCAATAAAACTTTAAAAAGCAGGCTGTAGGGCATCATTTTCTGACTTTTGATTTAGAGCCCGTGTATCATTTAAGTATACATGTAATTCTACTGACACAATTTTTCTAAATTCTTAGCTAGGACTTTTGGTTTTCCCATTCTTGCTAGAATTTAACTACAGAGAGACAAAGAGATAGCTGACTGCCCTAAATACTCATTTAAAAATTTCCAAATAATACTAAGAGGAGACTGAAAGCAAAAGGAAAAAAAAGAAGACAATAACTTAGCACTATAGTAAGACATGTGTAATGGGAAAGAACACTGATCATGAGGTCTGGGTAGTGTGTTTAACCCAGGGCTGGGCTTAGGCTAAGGAATCTCAAAGATCCTTTTGTTGGTTTTGCTAAAATTTTAATTGTGAGTTAGGCTTTACAAGTCTAAGACTTAGCAAATACCAAGCACAAAAGAGATGTTTTCTCTAACCTGACCTTAAAAGAGAAGTTTAATGAGTAATTAGTTGAGTAAGGTTTTAATACAGCATTAATATCAAAGATATGTGAACTTTTCCTATGCCTGCCTTTCAAGAAAGTCTCAAAAGCAATTAAGTTTGAGATATATTGTTTCAATATTAAGTTCACCGGTTTATGCCTAAAAGGAAAATGAGCAAATGTTAAAGAAAAGTGACACTATAGATGAATTTATGACTCTTAGAAAGAGAAATGGGTGGTTGGAATAAAATGGGATTTTATGTTTCAGACTCTTAGTCCAAGACTTCATAGACAAAAGACATGCTCCAGAGAAGAAATGATATAGTAAAATACCACAGTCCACAATCTAAAGCCCACAGAACAATATGAATGGGTTTCAAGTGCTTTTTGAAATTTTATTGAAATGTATTTTTCTGGATTAAGGATTTATGGTAAGTTGTAGTCATAATCATTGGGATCCATGCATGACACAACTTACATATTTGCTACCAGTTTGCATCTCCAGCTACTTAGCAGTTTCAGAAAGCTCTGCCCAAAACAAATCAAAATATGTCCTTGAACTAATAGGTTTACTTTGTGATGAGATAAAACTTCACTACATGAGGATGTTATAGCAGAAATCAAATCATTAAAGTATATATTACCTGTAGTTTTTCTATTTCTGTCTTTGCTGCTTGCCTTGCTTTGCCAATCGCACAGCCCCAGTAGCCCTATTTAAAAAGAACATACAACAAAATACATACAATTTAACTAAATGAACATATTATCATCAATGGCTACTATTGTTTTTATTTTAAAGTTAAAGAAAGGATATTAAATGATTTTCAAAATTAAGTAGGTAGGAATATAGTCAAACATTCTTATGAACAAGGGGCTTAAAAATTAAAATGCGGGCCTCCCTGGTGGCACAGGTGGTTGAGCGCAGTGCTGTGAAGCTGTCCCCAGCCTCTGCAGTGCAGGTTCAATCCCAGCCAGCTGGCGAGATACCCACATGGCATAGCAGACCTCTTTGGTCTTGCCTGCTGCTTCCCTAGCAGTGTATTTCTGTCAGTCTGCCTGTTCTGTTCCCCACTCTGTCTCCGGTGAATCCTCTCACCACCCCCCACAACTCTGGCCTGTACCCTGGTTTTTATATGCATGAATAAATAAATCTTTAAAAAATTAAAATGCCAATTTAATTCAACACTAATCTGGATTCTATCGCATAGACATATATCCAAAGAAAAGCAGGTTTTGTCATTATACATATTTGAGGGTAAGAATGAAAAAAATTTAACATTAGAGTAAAATATAATTATTCCTGAAAGAAAACAAGGTAGTTCTGAGTTCAATACTCTAAACCCTCCTTCATTACTAATGAATGTTATCACCTTTTATAGATAAGAATATCCATTTATAATATGTATCATGACAATAGACTTTAAAAAAAAAAATCTAAAAATCCCTTAAAATGTGTGAAGCTGGGCCTCTTTGGTGGCACAGGTGTTCAAGTCTCAGCACTATCAAGCTATCGTCAGCCTATTTATCAGTTCTACGCAAAAATAAAAATAAATCAATCTTTAAGAAAAAGTTGAGAAAAGGTAGAAGAAGGCCCATGTAAGCCCATTTAAAATCCTTTCAAAAAGGGAATATATTTACATTTAAGACTGCTAATGTAGAGTAGTAAAAGAAATGGTATATTTTTAAAAATTTTATATATACTATGCAGTTTGTATAGACAACATACTGAAAGCCACAAATCGTTCCTCCCCCTCCCGGCCTCATATCCGTAAGTTATCTTTATTAATTGTACTAAAGATAAACAATTAAGCTAAAAATAGAACTTAAGATAATCCAGAATTACTCACGTATGAAACACCTGATGGGTCAATCATGTAAAGTTGTGCACCGTCATTCACACTGTAAGATCCTAACATGAAACTACATAAAAGTATATTAAACCATTGTTCTGATTAGCATGAAAGTACTAAAAAAACCAATAAAAATGCAGTTATACTTTCTAATATAAACCATTACTCATAGTAAGTACTTAAGCAAGGTAGTTTTAATATAATCTAGTACATACTTGAAATTGCTCAAAATTCACGTGGCTGTGTTTATTATTAAACTTCTGATGAAACATTCCTGAGGAGATAGCAGTAAAGACAAAAGAATACTAACAGATGAATATCAAACTCTCCACCCTTCAATAGCTATTGTGAATTACTGATTTTCTGAAATTGCAAATTTACATTTGCCTTAGAAATGGAAACAAGGACCTCCCTGGTGGTGCAAGGGGTTAAGATGCAACCTATGAAGCTGTCCACAGCCACTGCAGCACGAGTTCGATCCCCAGCCAGGGAGCTGCCCACATGGCACAGCAGACCTTTCCTGACTCGCCTGCTGCTCCCCTCAGCAGTGTATTTCAGTCAACCTGCCTGTTCTGTTCCCCACTGTCTCTGGTGAATCCTCTCTCCACCCCCCACCTCTGGCCTGTACCTCAGTTCTTATATGCATAAATAAATAAATCTTAAAAAAAAAAAAAGTCTCATCTTACACATCATTTCCTGTGCAGAATATCCAGTTTTGACCGCTACCATTATTCCTTTCCATCTGCTTTGAGACTTATCTTTCAACATATGTAACTGATTACTTTAAACATGTCTGTAGCATGGAGCACAGACGACTTCTTTATGACCTGATCGCATCCTAATCTTTAATGTCATCTAACCTTATACAGTACATATTACTTGAAATGCTCATGTAATTTTTCATACCATTTCCTATGCCTGGAAAATCCTCATCATTCTGCCTAATCTCACATCCTTTATTTTGCCATCTTTCCAGAAGAATCCATTCCCTAAATACATACTATACTCAGTATGTATCTTTATTACCACCTCTAAATTTATATCACAATCATCTCTATATCCTTCACAACTTCTAAGACTGACCGGTAGTAAGCACTCAATAAATACTGAAAAAAGTTCTGTCCACTATTCTTACTCCCTTAAAAACAACTGATGATGGGCCTCCCTGGTGGCGCAAGGGGTTAAGCACTGCACTACGAAGCTATCTGCAGCCTCTGTAGCACGAGTTTGATTCCCAGCCGGCCAGGGAGCAACCACATAGCGCAGCAGACCTCTCCTGTCTCGCCTGCTGCTCCCCTCAGCAGTCTGCCTGTTCTGTTCCCCACTCTGTTTCTGGTGAATCCTCTCACCCCCCCCCCACATCTCTGGCCTGTACCCCAGCTCTTGTATGTATAAATAAATCTTAAAAAAAAAAACAAAAACAAAAACAGAACTGATGAATTCAGAACTCAGTTGAGAGCCTTAAGATAAGCAGGAAGTGGACAGCAGAGGCCCCAGGTCAGGCTTGGGTTGGCCAAACCTGTGGCTTCTACAATGGCAACTTTGTCTTTTTTTGATTATTGAGTACTAGTCCATCCTGTGTATATACCATGTCCTCTTGATCCGCTCACCCATTTTGGAGTACTTAAAGTTTCCTTTCAAATTAGTGTTTTTGTATTCGTGGGTAGATCCCTAGGAGTGGAACTGCTGAGTCATATGGCAGATCCTTTTTTATTCTAAGATTTATGTATTTATTTATACAAGCACTGGGTACAGTCAGAAGCGTGGGAGGGTGAGAGAATTCGCCAGAGACAGAGTGGGGAACAGAACAGGCAGAATGATGAAGAAATACACAGCTGAGGGGAGCAGCGGGCGCGGCAGGAGAGGTCTGTCGCGCCATGTGGCACCCTCGCCAGTGGCCAGGGATCAAACCAGTGCTACAGAGGCTGTGGGCAGCTTCACAGCTCGGTGCTCAACCGCTGCACCACCAGGGGAGGACCGACAGATCCATTTTTAATCTTAAAAGCTGACTACAGGGCCTCCCTGGTGGTGCAAGGGGTTAAGCACTATGAAGCAATCCACATCCTCTGCAGCACGAGTTCGATCCCTGGCTGGCCAGGAAGCAACCCACATGGCAGAGCAGACCTCTCCTGTCTCCCCCACTGCTCCCCTCAGCAGTGTGTTTCAGTCAGTCTGCCTGTTCTGTTCCCCACTCTGTCTCTGGTGGATCCTCTCACCCCCCCGCATCTCTGGTTTATACTCTAATTCTTGTATGCATAAATTAATCTTTAAAAAAAAAAAAAAAGCTGACTACAGAACTGAGGAATCCAGAGAAGGTGGGGGAAGGGGCAAAAGCAAAGTTATAATTTAAACAGGTCTTACAAATGTAAAGTAATGACAGAGCTCCTCTGGGAAGCTGTATTTGAGTATTTACAGTATTCCAGGTCTTGATGCAACTAAATCCTAGCTTTTCCCCAAAAGAAAAATACTAGCTCTTCACCTTGACAACAGAAAGAAGAAACTGTAACAAAAGTATGAAGTGAAATTTTGTATAGATTCATTATGACTACTAAAACAGCCTCCCATTTAAGAACATTTTGCCTAACTGCTCCAAATTATTTAAAATGGAAACTAATGAGAACACTGATGTACCAGTACAGTTGGTCACCAAATAATGAAAACACAGAATATAATTAAAATCATTTTGCAGTTTCCTGAGAATGTCTTAATCTAATATAACAGAATTTACTGTCATCAAAGTTATTACTATGAGTTCTGTGTTTTATCATTACTTCAAATCTGTGTAGTATTTTTCAGTATTTAAAATTTTTTTTTTTTATGTACACTGTTTTATTTTTATGTACACCACCATAATACTTCTTGGTAATAGTTCACATTATTAAGGAAGTAAGATGCTCAAGTGCTGGGGAAAATAGATTCTACAGCACAGACCTGAATGATTATCTCAAAATTTCATACCTGCAGCCAAAAGGTCTAACAGCACTGTAGAGCGTATATGCGTGTACATACATGGCCACTCTGTCCGCAAGATGCTATGGGGAGCAGAAGAAATAGAAGAGCTTATTAATAAGCTTCTATTATTACTTAAAAGGCTTCTCAACAAATTATTAACTTACTTTCAGTGGAATGTTATAGCCAAAGTTAGATCTAAAGTTGGAAGCTTCTTCTCTTGCAATGTCTGCTAAAGAACGAGCATCTGCCAACAAGCCTGCTACTGCCTGGAGGGGAGGAAATTTAATAAACACAAATCAGAGAAAAGTATGTAATTACTGTAGGCTTATTTTCTTTCAAACAAGCATCGCCAACAGAAGTAAATTTTTTGGCTTAACGATCTTTATCAGGCATTCAGGTTATTTTGATGCTTGAGTATGAGAACTGGAAATTTACCAAGTATGACTTCATTGTTTTGTCCAACCATTGTGCTCAGAAGAAATACATCCATAATAAATTTCCATGTCTCCCCATCTAAAACTTCATTATAAAGAATAAAACCCTGGGTCTTGGTAAGGACTGATCTTTTATTTAAACTATTCTATGTTCAAAAAGCTACTAAAAGTTTTGGTATAAAAGGCACAACTCAGGTCCCCTTTTCAGACTATTGACTTACTAATAAGCTACTATGACAAACACAAATGTTCCAAGATTGGTGGTTTAGGACTGCAGTTCCAAACCATATGCTGCAATACTAGAGCAATGTAGTGAACTGAGTTGTAAAACATTGGAGGAAATGTTATCAAAGTAGTTGCCAGTTTCACAGATCATAATGCATTCCTTTCAATACCATCATAAAATTGAGAAGCTGAGTTACTATGATTAAAAAAAAAAAATTACTCTGCAAAAATCAATGTGGATCAGTAAATAAGGGGCAGCATCCAATCTGATTCCAAAGATTAAGAAGTTATGCAGTACATACTAGTAACCGCAGCTTGAAAATCAAATTTATTTTTTTCTTATATTGTATGTGGTTTATTCCCCCCCCCCCGCCAAATAGCTACTTAAGATATAAACACTATTGTTTAGACCAAATATTTAGCAATGTATTTAAAACCTAAATACATATCAGAACCTTTGGATATTTCTTTTGGCCTAGAGAATCCTTGGGAGGAAAGAAAGAAGAAAACAATCACTGAAGCACAGGTCTTGGGGATCAAGGTCTGTTTGTAGAATTTAAAGGTAATATCAGAATTTTTAGTAGCACTTTTTTCCTACTGCTACCTAGCAATAGTAATAATGAAAATTCCTAAATACACATTGATACTGACTACATGCTATACACATTTTTAACCTTGCCACCTCTCCAGAGATCATTATTTTTAAACAACTGTAAGGGAAGGTACTATTTATCACCCAGTTTTGCAGTAAGGAAATTGGTATTTAGAATAACTTACCTAAGGTTTATCTAGCCTAAGTTGCACCATTTAAAGAATTTTCTAAAGGCTTTGAGTAAAGCTTACTGAGAAGTCTAAATTCTCAAATCATTTTTTTTATATAATTCTTACATCTTTTTTCATTTTTGCACAATATGCATTTTCATTTTAGTTATTTCCCCATACAATTGCACCTCCCCTTATTTTGACCCTAATCCTTCCTCTCCCTGACCCTTCTCAAATCATTTAAAAAATGACAACATCAATCCTTCATTTCTCCCTCTTCAATATCTAATGTCTTTCCAATTTCCAGCTCTACAGAATGCCATTGATTTCCTGACTTTAAATGACAAATTTGAAATTTTTAGGACAATAAATCTGTTTCCATCACTGAAGTAACTGTAGTATTAGCATTTTTTTCTTTTAAATACACCCGAAGTTTTTCTACTAAAAGAAAGCATGCCACTCTAGTTCCCTCTCACCAGCTACTTTCATCATTGGCAATAAACTTTTCAGTAGACAAAACAGGTTCAGGAAAAAAATCAAGGAAGCAGCAAAACATTTTAATTCATGTAGTTTCACAGTTTATAGGTTGTTTTACCAGTCTTTTCTGTGTGTATTATACTTTTCATTTTGAAGTACTAAAGCTATCAACAGAATTAGTGGGGTTAGAGTTTCACCCTGCAGAATGGGCTCTGGACTTAACATGTGAATCATGTAGACCTCAATTTTAATCCCAGTGTCTTTCTTTGCCACTAGAGAGTCTGTTTTCTCAGCTGAAAATAAATGGGATTAAAATTACTTTCACTGGGTTGTCAGGATTACAGAGAGATTTTATATAATGAGTCTCTAGCATCGTACCTAGAATTCATCATTTTTTCTTTCTTGCCTTTACAGTAGGTACGGTTAGTATATATTTTTTTTGTGTGTGTGGTGGTTTTCACTGAAGAAGTCTGACATCTATGAAGGATGACTTCAGTAAGCACCAGTAATGGATTTGAGTTGGGCTGCAATTGTGCAAAGTAGTCACTCAAGATACCAACTGCATGAAATAATTTAAATGCAATGATACCTAATAAGCTACTAAAAAGGATGTGTTCACTTTTCCTTTCATTAAACATCATTTCCTAGTGTTCCATCTTACAATACAGGCATTTTCTATCTGATAATAACTTCAGTATGACAGTGATTCTCAAAAGTGATAACAAAAAAGCTAAACATTCTTTGCCACTCAAAGAGGCCTTCATTTGTGATCTATGCTGCCAGGATCTCTTTTTTTCTACATCGCGCTCCCCTCTTATGACAATTTGATTTTTCTGTCTTCAATCACTATGAGAATAGTACCTTTCTTTTAGATAGTGAACTGTCCACAAACCAGTAACCGATTACTTCTGTGGTTGCTCTCTGATCTGTGTGTCTCAATGCTAAAGAAATAAATGGGTTCTTATAATCACATTTTTAAAATACAGATCACTTATTTCACAAGAAATTGGACAAGGCAAAAAAGAACATTTTTAAATGTGACCTTACCATGCCAACATGCCGATCGACATTAAAAAGTCGTTTGTTGGAACCTTCTTCATAAAGTTTAGAAAGGACTAATTTTTCTACCCCAAAGACGACACCATCTTTACATCTGATTCCAATAGCTGTACTGAAACAAGTAGAAGGAAATCAATTTTTAACTGAAAATAAAACACCTTTTTATTAAAAGCACAAAAATAGGTAATATTTAGAACTGTAAAACATATCAAGTACTTTAAAAGAAACAGGATTGAAAACTAGCAATGGTAAACAATGTACAGTATAAGTGAGGCCCATATAAATTATTTATGTAACCAAAAAAAATAAACCAACATAGCATATGATATAAACTTTATATAATAATTGAAAATATTGAACAGAATGAAAAAGATGCCAACAAAATATGTACAAAATGGTGCAGTATCTGGCATATGATAGCCATGTTATAAACAGCTGTTCATTAAATTCATGTCTATTAAAATACATAGCCATAGAAAAGATAGGCTAAACATAAACTAAAAAGTTAACAGTGACTAATCTTCATGGAAGGATTATAACATTTTCTTTAGCTCATGTGCTTCTGCAATAATCAAGAATTGTTTATAAGTATACAAAATGTTTTGTACAACTATACAACTTTTAGGGCCTCCCCTGGTGGCGCAGCAGTTCAGTGCTGGGCTGCGAAGCTGCCCGCAGCTTCTGCAGCGCTGGTTCAATCCCCAGCTGCTGGCAAGGGTCCCACATGGCGCACAGACCTCTCCAGCCACGCCCGCTGCTCCCCTCAGCAGTGTACCTCATCAGTCTGCCTGTTCTGTTCCCTGCTCTGGCTCTGGTGAATTCTCTTACCCTCCTGCGCTTCTGACTGTACCCAGTGCTTGTATAAATAAATAAATATTTCAAAAAACAAAAAAACAAAAAAAACTACAACTTTTAAATAAAAGAGATGCTAAAATAATCCCTTAAAATGTGGAGGAATATGTTGCCATTTCAAAATTAAAATGCATTACTTTGTTCTTCTAATACTTTTAATAAAGTAATTCTAATCAAAAGCAATCAGAAAAATGAAAAGGCACACACACAAAGGAACACATGCATAAATAAATGCATGCATAAATAAATAAATCTTTAAAAAAACAGTTGAGAGTGTTGCAGTGCAGAATATACTATCCATTTACTTGTACTATTGCTATTTCTCATCACTGCCTTGATTTGTGTTAAAGTCCTTTAGTTTCACCACCACTCTTCTGAACCCTTAGTATAAATGTCCACCTATAGTAGAAAAGGCAGTGTCTTTGTAGTCTCATGAAAATATTTTTTTTTTTTTTTTAAGACCAAAGTACACTGCTTGAGGGGAGCAGCAGGCGAGACAAGAGAGGTCTGTCTTGAAATGTGGGTTTTTCCCTGGCTGGCCCCAGGAATCGAACTCAGTGCTGCTGCAGATTGCTTCATAGGTTGCGTCCTAACCCCTGTGCTACCAGGGAGGCCCCAGATTCTTCAGATTTTTTGAAAGCTGGGCCAAGGAGTTTAAACTTGAAAGGGTTGCCATTGACAATACCCAAAGTGTGGGGAAAGTAGTTTATTTATTTATGCAGAGCTTGGGTACAGGCCAGAGAGGACTCACCAGAGACAGAGTGGGGAACAGAACAGGCAGACTAACTGAAACACACTGCTGAGGGGAACAGCGGGGGAGACAGGAGAGGTCTGCTCTGCCATGTGAGTTGCTTCCTGGCCAGCCAGGGATCGAACTCGTGCTGCAGAGGATGTGGATTGCTTCATAGTGCTTAACCCCTTGCACCACCAGGGAAGCCCTCAACTGTTTATTTTTAAGCTACTTTAAGAATATCATTTTTATTAAATGACAGTCCTTGAGTATCTCTTATTAACATATGAAATATAAAGTATTCAAAGTACTTCTGCTATACATCAAAATATTATGGTTGCCTAAAGGAAAAAACAAGTAAAAATTTTGTCAATTCTCTCATGGAGTACCTTTTTTTACCTTTAAAGAATGTCAAACTGCTATTTACATTTAAGATTTATTTATTTATTTATACAAGCACTGGGTACAGTCAGAAGCGCGGGAGGGTGAGAGAATTCACCAGAGCCAGAGCAGGGAACAGAACAGGCAGACTGACAAAATACACTGCTGAGGGGAGCAGCGGGCGGCAGGAGAGGTCTGTGCGCCATGTGGGACCCTCGCCAGCGGCCGGGGATCGAACTGGCGCTGCAGAGGCTGTGGGCAGCTTCACAACACAGCGCTCAACCGTTGTGCCACCGGGGAGGCCCTACATTTAAGATTTATAGTAAACCTTTTTTTTCCTATAACATGAACAAAGTAAAACTATCACTTCAAGGAAAGTAACTAAAGTGACAAGTTTTCAAGCCTGAGTTGGAATTTTAGGAACATAATCACCACTGTGCCCCAATTTGTACAAACTTATGATCACATCAGTAGCAGATATTAACAAATGTGATGTTTCTGACAGTTTACAATATATCAAATACAGAAAATCTGGGTTGTGCTAGCCTATTTTCCAAATGACCAGCCTCCAATGAAATTATGCATGGGTATTGATCCAAAATGCAAGACAATATCTAATAGACTTTACTGTGAAAATACAAAAGGTTCAACATTATATTTCAGACTCAACATTGCAACAAAACTTTAAGAAACTACAATTTTTCCATTTTTGGTGTATCAAAGAACATCCATAATTACTTGAAACAAGTATTAAATCTCTCCCCATTTTTTCAAACATATGCCTAATTTGCTTCATATGTCTGTCTTCTATTAACAAATGAGATTTACAAAAATGTAAAACAATGCCACTCTTTACAGTATTAAAATATTTTGGGAAAATTATTTTTATTAAATATCTTACTATAGTAATTAAATTTCTTTAACATTAAATCTTTAATATATAACTATTTAAATATTATTTAAGTTTTTATTTATCAGTTTTAATTTTTAATAGTAAATATTGATAGAACCATCATCTGCTCAAGTAAAAGCTCTTTGGGGTCATAGTTTATATTGACAGAATCTATAGCCTTCATAAATAAATACTCTGAGAGGTCCTCAATGAATATCTTTAAATAAGTATAAAGGGGCCTTAAAACCCAAAATTTTATGTACATTTTTGTTCTAAGTTACTTTGCACAATCTTCCTATCCTATTTTGGCTCCTTGCTGGACTAAACGGTAAGGTAATAATTCAATTTCCCCCCTTTTTCTTTTGTATATTACCTTCTAGGGGGATGCTTTTGTAAAATGGTTATTATCATTGTCTACATATTCTAATAAAAGTGCTTTTAGGTAGTCATTCTTACGTCATTAATTATTTGTTTTGATAGTTCCCATGCTTAATACATCAGGAAGACAATGGGTCCATGTCTTGAATTTGACTTTCTCAACTCTCTCAGGCTTACGAGACAAATACATTTCAGCCTAAAATTCTTTTTTTTTTCTTTTTTTAAAATTTATTTATTTATTTATACAAGCACTGGGTACAGTCAGAAGTGCGGGAGGGTGAGAGAATTCACCAGAGCCAGAGCAGGGAACGGAACAGGCAGACTGATGAAATACACTACTGAGGGGAGCAGTGGGCGCCAGCAGAGGTTTGCGCACCACGTGGGACCCTCGCAGGTGGCCAGGGATCAAACTGGCGCTGCAGAGGCTGCGGGCAGCTTCGCAACCCAGGGCTCAATCGCCGCGCCACCCGGGAGGCCCTCAGCCTAAAATTCTTAACTGCTTTATTTCCCTTATAGTATCAGATACTTGTAGCTTATAAATACCAATATAGCTAATAACACATTTAAATGTAAAATATATTAGCTTCGTTACAAATCTAACAGACTTACTTATATTTTTGCTCAGAATTTTAAAATTATTTCCTAAGTCATTAGAAATCCACGTACCTTCTTCCTACCATTCAGAAGATGACACAAATGAACATTTTATTCATTAGCCAACTACTGATGTTTGCTATGTGCAGTGCCAGCACATTAGAAAACAAGTAACAGTCTCTACCCTCACGAAACTCCATAATCAAATATTGAGGGTATTATGACAAAGTAAGAAAACTCAGTATTTACAAGTGTACTTTTCTGAAATTCTGGAAACATTTCCCTACTCCCATCTACTCCAAAAGTTTTCATTACAATGAGAATCTGTGAGCTCAAATACCAACACCTTGTTTGTTAAATCTAAAAATAATTCTTTAGGGCCTCCCCGGTGGCGCAGCGGTTGAGCGCTGGGTTGCGAAGCTGCCCGCGGCCTCTGCGGCGCCGGTTCGATCCCCAGCTGCTCCCTGGCCACCGGAGGAGGATCCCACATGGCGCGCAGACCTCTCCTGCCGCCCGCTGCTCCACTCAGCAGTGTACTTCGGTCCTTCTGCCTGCTCTGCTCCCCACTCTGGCTCTGGTGACTTCTCTCACCCTCCCGCGCTTCTGACTGTACCCAGTGCATGTATAAACAAAACAAACAAACAAATATAATAAATAAATAAAAACATGCCTCTATAAAAAAAAAAAAATAAAAATAAAAATAATTCTTTAAAATATCTGAATGAGATGTTATGACTGAACTTTTTTTTAATGTTCTTTAATTCATCCAAAGGTGCTCCAGATTCTAAAATATAGTCACTTAAGTATAACTGGCTGGAAAATTTATTTAATAAAAGACTAATAAAATATGTCAATAAGCTAAACAATTTAACCAACACATTACAAAGGTGCTGAAAGAAATATTATAGTACATTATTTTAAACAACAAAAACACTGAAGGGAGAGAATCCAACATGAAAATATCTTAGTGATCCTACACCTTTTGGATGCAGTGTGGCTTCAGAGAACAATTTTTAAAAGTCCCTGCTAAGACAAACATGTTACTACCTGTATAGATTTACTGCATACATTTGAAAAACAAAAATATGAGATAAAAAATAAGGTCACAAGGTCACAGGCCTAGTGGTCAAGGAAAACAGTAATTTAAGAATCTGAAAAAGGAAAGTGGGCTAGGAGAGAAATGATTTTGGTTTCATACACTACATATGAGACAATGCTAAAATGGCTAAGAGAATAATCCTGGATCAACTGAATACCTAAGATTGAAGCTCATTGTAAATAACCAGTCTAAAATGAAATCTGAGTATTAAGATTATTTTAGAGCATATACTGACTGGTTTGTGCCAATGTAATATAACAAAAGTTCAATACCAACAAAGTAGAAAAGGAGACATTTAATACCTGGTTAAAATAATTCTAATTTCAAATAAAACAGTATTTCTTACCTACTATTTTCCACAGCTTTCATAGCATATTCCACTTGAAAAACTCTTCCATCAGGAGAGAATGTAGAGGCTGACAGGTCATACTAGGACAGAAAAAGCAAAAATAAGTTAATAATGATGCATCTTTGGCAGTATTTTTTTCTCAAAATAGCTTACACATCGGCAGTTTAGGTTAAATCTCAACACAGGCTTTGCTTTGAAGAGGAACGGGAAGTATGTCAGAATAACAATATTGTTAGGAAAAAGTTCAACACTTTATATTTCCATTACTGAAAAAGGAATGGAAGCAGTCTCCGGTGAAGTCAGAACCTTTTTACACAGAATACATTTAATTAATACACTGGTAAAAAAAAGCACTGGGCATTTTAATTTGTGGTACAAACAAACTGTGAAACTTGGGACAGATTGTTTTGTTTTCAAACGTTTAACAAGTATCTTATTATGTTAGGCATTACAAGGGAATGAATAATGAATTCATTCTTAAGCCGTTCATTTTCAAATCAGACTAGGCACAAATCTGGGTGCTGGAGACACAGGAATAAATAAGAAAAGGTACTACTATAAAAATAAGACACAGTGAGGCGATAGTCTGAGGAACTATAGACTACCTGATCAGGGAAGGCCTTTAGCGGCAATTACATTTAGTCCTTTAGGGAGAATCAAACCTAAACAATTAGGCATTTAGGATATGGAGGAGTCCTCATCCTGGTATTTGTCATAAAGACGTTAGAGTAGAAACAACCTGGTAAAATACAAAAAAAGAAATAAGGTCACTGTGTCTTGAGCACTGTAACTGGTGAAGAGAACAGTAAATTTTAACCAGAGGTATGTAGGCCCAAACGATGTTGCATATACTAAGAGGGCCTGTGCAGGGAAGAGGGGGTTAGTACTATGATCTAAAATTTTAAAAACACTCATCTGGAAAATGAATTGTTAAGAAAACATGAAAAGAAGCAAAAATCAGGTATTCCAAAGGTGGAGGCTACAGGGGAAGAGATAGAAAGCAGTTATGTTTTGAATACAGAATTAATATATATATATATATATATATATATATATATATCAATTGTCTCTAGGAGTCAAGTGAAAAAGATAAATCAGATTTTTTCCCCTCATTTGAGCAACTAGAATTTGGCCATTCACTGAGCTGAAGATTGCAGAACGTAAACGGCAAGGGAAGGAGAAAAACCAGGGTTTGTGTTAGGCATTACAAGGGAATGAATAATGAATTCATTCTTAAGCCGTTCATTTTCAAATCAGATGAGGCACAAATCTGGGTGCTGGAGACACAGGAGTAAATAAGAAAAGGTACTACTGTGAAAATAAGACATGCTGAAGCCACAGTCTGGATCTGCAGCTTGAAATTGCTAGTGAACAATGAAGTGGAGGGAAATGTCAAGTAGACAAGTCTTCATATCTGGCATTCTTGGGAGAAGTGGACAGGTGTCAAGTAGACAAGTAATTCAACAATAGTAATGTCTGAGTCCGTTTCCTGATCTGTCAGATGGGAGATCCTTAACTATAGCACTGTAATACAAAATAACTCATGTGGCTATATTATATGATCAAGTATTTGTAAAGGGTTTGTAGAATGAAACACTAATAATGGAAAGTGAGGTAACGTTATTGTAATTGCAAACTCAATTTCAGGAACTCATTATTTAATGCCTCTAGTGCAAACAAATATTTCTAAACAAAAACGTATTTTCTATACTAAGAATACACAAAAAGGAGTAACCACAAGATTGCATATATGCAGCACATTTAATAAAAGCAAATAGTAAGCCGAACAAGTTAACAAATCCAACGCCAAAAATCCTCAACAGTCTATTAAAAGTCAGAAGAAGCTGTTACCTCCCCAACAAATCAAGCAAAGGTTTGCAGTGTTGCTAATTCAAGTGCTGTTAATCAATCTCGCAGGAAAAGCTGACACAAAGGAGAGATTAAGGGGCTCTTCAGATTGAGCTTTTTTTTTTTAAAAGATTTATTCATTTATGCATACAAGAACTGGGGTACAGGCCAGAGGTGTGGGGGGGTGAGAAGATTCACCAGAGACAGAGTGGGGTACAGAACAGGCAAACTGACTGAAATACACTGCTGAGGGGAGCAGCGGGCGAGTCAGGAGAGGTCTGCTGCGCCATGTGGGTAGCTCCCTGGCTGGTCGGGGGATCGAACTCTTGCTGCAGTGGCTGCAGATTGCTTCATAGGTTGTGTCTTAACCCCTTGCGCCACCAGGGAGGCCCCAGATTGAGCTTTTGAGACAATTTCCCTTATTCGCTCTGTCCGGATCGGGCGCCCGGACAGAGAGAGGGGTGAGTCCACTCGCAGGGACGAGGGGAAAGGCGCGCGAGTCGGCAGCACCCTAGGAACCGCAGCGGCGGCCCGTGGGGAGGGAGTGCGCCCCGGATCTCCCACCCAAGCCGTCTGGCCCCGGCGCTTCTCCAGAGGCCAACTGCCGCCAACCCCTACCTACACACACCATTTCAGGCCCCACGAGTTTCCACTTTCGGTTTCCCTAAGCGGCGGTAGCTTGGCAAGTGACTCAGCAATCCACAGCGGCTCCGCGGCTGCCGGCCCAGCGCGCCGCCCGCGCTGAGGAGCGCGCGTCGCCGCCACCGCAGGCCTAGCGACGAGCGTCGCAAAGACAGGGTGGCCCCCCGGCGGCTGGAGTAGCCCCCCGAGCGCAGGCAGTCCCAGCGCACCCCGGGACGGCCACCTCCAGCAGGCAGTCCGGGTCACCTTTACCGCCAATTCTTAGGGGAGACTATCGCGCCACGGGACCACACACTCACCCCGGTGCCGATGGAACTCATGGCGCTACCACCACCCGGACGCGCGGGGCTTGCGGGCCTGAAGCGCTTCCCCTACGCCGCAGCGCGCAGACCAGTAACAGGCGCGTTCATTGGCTGCTTTTTCGACCAATAGCCTTCTTCTCTGCGACGGGTTCCTGGGATTTTAATCCGCGGTCTAAAAGGATTGTGGGAAAAGAGGGGGCGGAGAACGTGGCTGCCGATGCGCATGCGCATGTGCAGAGACTGTGGCAGGGGAGTTAGGGGGAGGTAGGACGCTTTCCCGTTTTGCTGCGGTGCTGAGTGTTGTTGAACCACTTTGATACCTTCGCTAGTGTGGAAATTGTCCTAGGAATTATTGTTTATCTTTTATATGACCCCTCTCTTGTCTTTGTCTTATTCTTTCTTAAAGCAAAGATGTTCACGTACTCCTACAGAAACCTGTGGTGTGATTGAGGTGTGCTTCCACCCTTGGCACAGATTCTGCCCTAGTATTTTGATGACATCCCCTTTCATCCACTTAGTCTCAGAAGAGAGGAAGTTGCTTTCTAAGGTTTCACCTAGGGCTTATAGATGCACTGGTACTCTTTCTATATGTTTAATATTTTAAAAAAAAACCACTGCTTTAAAAGGTATAATAATATCTTTTAATATTATGGTATTATAATATCTTATAATAATATAATAATTCCTGTAGAATAATACAGGAATACGTCCCAAATCTCTTAAAGTGCTAATAGGATGGCAACCCCATCCTACAGGGAGTTTACATTCAACGGGAAGAAATAGGCAACAAAGAGGAAATAAATGGTTGCATCTTGTGGTGAAAAGGGAGGAGAGAGAATGTGTGAACTTCAGGCAGAGTACTTAGGGAATGACTTTCTGCATATGTGATAAACTGAAACTTGGGAATAAGTAAAGGCTGAGAGTGTGATAACATTACAAAAACAAACTAAATGTCCATCAATAAATGATTGCATAAAGAAGATGTGATCTCTACACACAATGAAATACTACAGAGCTATAGAAAAGATAAAACCTTGCCAGTTGGGACAACATGAATAGAATTTATGATGATGGTTTTACTGAGGTTTACCTCAGTTAAAAAATAAAAAAAGGAAAGACTGAGAGTAGTTTAGGGAATAGCAAGCACAGGAAAAAAGCTTGCCTTGATCTAGAGCTGTCAGATCATTATGGCCTGTCCTAGCGATTAAGTGGGGGAGAGTGATGGGGAATGAAACCAGAGATGGGCAGGGATTAGATGTTAAAATGGTTTGGAGTTCAGTCAGATTGTGAGTGGAAGGCCATCAGTATTTTTAAAAACTGGTAAATACATCGAATTTACATCCTTCATAACAGGAGCATTATTTTACGTATCCACAATACAATTTGAAAGTTAGAAAATAATACCATTTTCTAACCCATAGACTGCAGTTAAATTTCGGCAATTATCTCAACAATAATCTGCAAGGCAAAAGAAACTCCAAGATCACACAACATTGCTGTTTAGTTACCATGTTGCTGGTCCTCTTTAATCTGAAAAAATGGTTGCTTGATGTTTCTTTGGGTTCCATAGCATCAACATTTTTGAAAAATACATTCATTTTGTAAGATATTCCTCAATTTGGGTTTATATGATACTTTTTTCATGATTAGATTCAAGAGATGCATTCTTGGTAGAAGGACACAAAGGTTACCTTGTATTAATTTACAGCTTGTGTTTGGAGGCACATGTCACCTTGTTAAATTACCCATGGTTAAATTTGATCTGTTGATTACTTTTCCATTATAAAATTTCTACTTTCCCTTTAGAATTAATATTTTGTGAAGAAGTTACCTGAGACTATGGACATAGCTACTCCAAAACCTTTTAACCACTAGTATCCAATGATCCTAATTTGAATCAGTTATTATTATGATGGTTGCCAAACGGTGATCTTCCAATTCCATCATTCCATTCACATTTATTATAATCTTTATGTTACCAGGCCATGAGAAGTTTTTTTTAACAGGAGAATTATATTATCTAATTAAATGAGCTCCCTTGCTTTTGTGTGAAAAATTATAGATAAGGGGAAGAAAAGAAGCACAGAGACTGCTTGGAAAATTGTGGTCCTGTTGCAAATAGTAATGGACAGTGATTTGGACTAGAATGATGGCAGTGACAGTGGAAATATGAGGATCGATTTTAGATATGTAAAACTGACTGAAAATGTATAAAGCCAGGGAGAATTTCAAAAATTTCTTCCTGTTAATAAAGCATTATAATTAACATTTTATTCTTGAACACATGGATAAATAATTCACTTGAATTTACTAGGCAGATTACCCATTTAATTTGCCTAAGTCTCATTGAACTATTCTAGTTGTAATCTTTTCATGAGGTTAACAAAGTGCTGAAGAAAGTTCGAGAGGATTGACATAGGAGAATTTGCCTTGAAGGTGAACTGGTGAACTTGTTTAGGGGGCCAGTTAAACTTTTAATTAACTTCACTACTTGTGCCTAGTGTCTACTCTATATTGATTAATAATTAAGAATTTGTAGTTCTTTTCAGACACTTCAGATGAACTACATAGTTTGGCTAGATTGTTGATTTGTCTTGGCTCTTGAATGAATTCATTAAATTGTAGTTGTAGGTTCTTGGTTATTTGCCTAGTTCATATAAAAAAAATTTAAGGTATGGATATGAATTTTTTGTTTTAATTAAATTACTCCATCTTACTTTCAGAAATAAGGCATGTAAAATCAGTATTAATTTACACATATCTTTTCCTATAGGTTAATGAATTTTTGAGGTGATCGTTGTTTTGTTCTTCTGTCCTCTAGAATATATAACAGTGCTTTTCGCATTTAGGTACTTAAATGCATTGCGTTGCAAGTAAATACAAATTAACTTCCCTATTTCTCCTGTCAAGTTATAAAATATTAAAAAAAACCTAGAGTTTGCAATTGCAAGAAAAATTGTTAGTGAATAATTGTATTAATACTTTAAGTTTTTTCTTTTAATTAGGTCCCTCAGGAAATATGATACCCATTGTGTTTAATCTCTAAATACTGTAGTTCAGGGATAATATCTTAAGAATTCTGTTATTCATAGGTTTACAGTTAGGTTTTAACTGGCATTCTAAGCAGGAGGATAGACTCCAACACAACAATATGATATCTAAAATAGTAGAATACCTTATCTAGATATGACCAATACCTCAGAATATCTTCCCATGCATCCATCCATCCATTTATACAGATATAAATTATTTCGTTGTCTCAATTTGTCATTATTTGATCAAAATCAGTTCTCTTTTTTCCTAGAATTAACATGCTGTTTACCATAAGATTCAATTATACTATATTCCTTTTCTTCCCAGCTTCTATCATTGAACAGGATGGTAAAAAACAACCTCTGGAGGAGGGTTTTATCTTCATTGTCAGGCATTTACCTGAAAGAGACCTTATTGTAGTTGAATCAGAATTCCCTTCCTCAATTTAATTTTCCTTGACTAGATAGACGGTGGATAGTCTTATTACATATTATGTAAAATAGATACTATATAGGCAGTAAATATTTTAAAACATATGGAAAAAATTCAATGAATATAACGATAGATTTGATAAGCTTTCAATGATCTTGGGACACATGCAATAAAAATTATTAAATCTAATTACAATTAAACAGCTGCTTTTAATCGTCTTTTTAAAACATCTCAAAATATATATTTAATAATATAATACAAACTTTTTTGTAAATGAACTATGTAAAAAAAAAAAAAAACACTAAATGCGGTTGGACACTCATCAAGGGGTAAAAAAAAATACCCAGCTTTCGCAAGTGCCCGGCTAGCTCAGTCGGTAGAGCATGGGACTCTTAATCCCAGGGTCGTGGGTTCGAGCCCCACGTTGGGCGTAACTTGCTTTTTTCTTTCTCGAAGAACTTCACTTTCGATTTTAAGATTTCTCCAACGCATTGTAACTAAGGAAGGTTCTCTAAGCCTAATTCATTTAAATACGTTTTCAATGTTAACCAGGTCTCTGGAAAAAGCGTTTTACAAGCAAAAACATCTCAAACTGCGCTTGCGCACTTGAAAGGACAGGTTTCCCTTTCCTTGATCCCTCCCCAACCTCTTCCTTAAAGCACAAAGGGAAGTGAAAAGTCACTGTTTAAGATGGGGACTGGTTTTCTGACACTATGTACACTTGCATTGTTGCTGGTAAAGGGCAGTTTTGCTTTATTAGAACAAAATTATGAGCGGCTTTTCTAAAACTTAAATCCGATTTAAAAGCAGCTGGAGACTTAAGAGCACTTCGAAGAATTGACGCGTCTTCCTTTGTTGTTTTTACTTTTTCTTCGCTTCAATATAGGGTTGCGGAGGGAGGCGAGGGGACGATATTATCCCCTGAAGAAATACACAATGAAAAGTTTTTTCCTGTGGTCAGTTTATACAACCAGTATAGACATCATTGTTCTTGGAATTATATTTTGAATCTATTCCATCCAATTGGATGCATGTTAGGAAGTGGATTATTCTGGGAACAATGAAACTCTTTGAAACAAAGATATGAACTGAGATATGAAAATTTGGCTGTACAATTAGGTATTTGCAGGAGGCAGGATTTCTGCCTTTCCCCCTCGACACCGAGAACTTACAAAACAATCGCAAATGGAACGTACACACACAGGGTCCCAGACCATCACATCCTGGCACGTTGCAGATCTCACTGTACCAGTGTGTGAGCGGAACATACTCCCACCTAAAGCAATCCTATCTAAAGACCCTATACCCTCTGCGTTATCCAGATTCTCCTTCTAACCGACCATACATTTTCCTCTCTAGACTTTTCTTTTCAATATGCAAAAATGTTATTTCTCTATCTTAAAACAAAAGCTTTGACCTGGTTTCCCTGCAGACTAATTCCCCGTTGGAGCAATAACTATCCAGTTGCTTAAGCTCACCATTCCCCTTGTCCCACCTTTTAGCCCTGACAATGCCCAAAGACCAAAACACAATAGCTGAACCAACTTTGGTGTATTACTCATGGCATCCTGAACATGTGGGTGCCTCAATGAGAGGGTATTAAAGAAGAACCTATTATAGGATTTGGGCCTTAGCTGGGTAACTTGGGGAAGGGTCTAAAGAAGTGAAGGCTCCTTCTGGAGTGGGTATTCTCAGAAAGCAGGGGCAATTATATCTTAATAAAGGATGCATAAAGCTGAAATTGGTACGGCAACATTCGTTTAACAAGTTGGACAGTGACTAGCTTGTCTAAAGTGGATGTGAGATGCCAATCAAAAGTTCATGACACTGGTGCTTCTGATCAACTGCCTACAAATTGGGGATTCCCACAACCCTTTCCTCATGTTTGATAATTTTTCAAACAGCTCACAGAACTCAGGAAAAACAGGTTATTTATTCCCATTTTATTATAAGGGATACAATGCAGAAACACCCACAGGAAGAGATGCATGGGGCAGCATGTGGCACACAGAACTTCCATGCCCTCTCCTGGTCACCACCCTGCCAGCACCTTGATGTGTTCACCAAGCAAGAAGCTGTCTGAACAACTAAGTTCAGGGACATTAATGTAGGTTTCACAGGTAAGGTTGATTAACTCAAACTTCAACTCATCTTTTCTCCCTGGAGGGTGAAGGGTGGAGCTGAAAGTGCTAAGCTTCTAATCATGGCTTGGTTTTCCTGGTGACGTCTTCATCTGAAGCTATTCAGGAGCCCACAAAGAGTTGACTCATTAGAACAAAAGATACACCAGGAAATTACAAGGGCTTTAGGAACTCTGTATCAGATGCTCCTAACACTCCGTCACTCAGGAAATTACAAAGGCCTGTGGAGTTGTCACGAACCAGTGGCAGAGTCCAATATATATTTCTCATCAGGTCACACTCGTCTAATGTGTCTTTGTTAACAAGTCACTGAGTAATATCTCTTCACCTTCTCCCATTCCGTTGGAACATATGCTCTACAAAGGCAGGATTATTGTCTTTGTTCACTAATTATGTAGCAGGCACCTAAATTGGTATCTAATGGATGTTAAATAAGTGTTGAACTAGTGAATGAAGGAGGTTTTATAAGTTTCCTAGGACTACCACAAAGTGTCACAAACCGAATAGCTTCAAACAGAAATTTGTTGTCTCACAGCTGGGGCTCAAAGTTAGAAATCAAGGTACAGGCAGAGCCATGTTCTAAGTGCTCTCTTTAACAACCCAAATGCCCAAAAATAGATGACTGGATCAACAAGATGTGGTACATATACACAATAGACTATTACTAAGCAATCAAAAAAGATAAACACATGCAGTTTGCAGCAACATGGATGGAGCTAGAAGGGATCATGCTCAGCGAAATAAGTCAGAAAGGAAAATACCGGATGGTCTCACTCATAGCAGGAATTTAGAAAACCTAAATAAGGGACCAGGAAAAAGACTAATTAATGCAAAGTAAAAATCAAAATCAACGATCAACTATAAACTAGAGACACACTATGGTGGGGACGGGGGGGGGTTTGGGGGAGAGGATTAGGGTCAAAATAAGGGGGGGTACAATTGTATGGGGAATATAACCAAAATAAAAATGCATACATTGTGCAAAAATGAAAAATGATATAAGAATTATATAAAATATTTTAAAAAATCTGTTCTCTGCTTATAGTTTTTAATGTCTATAGCAATCCTTGGTGTTCCTTGGTGTATAGCTAATTCCAATCTTTGTCTGTTATGCTTTTTTCCTGTGTCTCTGTCTCATATGGCATTTCCCTCTGCTTTTAAGGACACTAGTTATGTTGAATTAGGGCCCACCTTAATTTGATTACATCTCCAAGGATTCCATTTAAATAAGGTCATATTCACAGTTACTGGAGGCTAGAACTTCAACATATCTTTCTGGGCCACATGATTCAACAGATAATACAGAGGGCTCTATTCCTTAACTGTAGCTACTAGGTGTCTAACACTATAGCTATAAGTTCTATTAGTCAGAGATCTTATTCTTCGTAATATTCAATGAAAAACTTCTCATAAGTAATCCAAAGTTAACAAGTCAGAATCTTAAAAAATATTGACTGCAAAAGAAGAATATTACTAAAATAATGAATCTGTCATTAATAGTACACCTATTATGGGCAATTCTACCAGGAATTTTCAAAATTAAGAAATAAAGGGTCTTTACTCTTGTTAAGTTCAAATTCCAGAAAGGAATATAAAAACTATATAGAAACAATTACATGATGAAAGTTGTGCCTCAGTTACAGATAAAGTGCTTGTAGGAAAGATTGCTATTTGGGGGTAAAGGGTGCTATGGAAGAGTGGTATGCCCAAAAGAATCTCACTTTTTGGAATGAACATATTGGTAAACTGGGTGGCAAAATTAAACTTTCTTAGTTTTATTCACCAGTTTAATATGGTTTTCAAGTTGTTCATGATTGAATCCTTAATTAACAATGCCTTTATCTCAATCTCAAATGCTTTAAGCTATTGTGTAGAGAATTCAGTTTACATAGCCTGGAATAAACCTGCAATTATTAAAATTCTTCTCATCCTTCAGGAACAAGGTCAAAATCCTTCTCTGAGATGTTTTCCTTTAACAACTTGGTCAGAATTAACAACAACAGTGAAAACCCAGATTCTGTTTTATTTCCTTAGTTGTATACACAGCCATTTTTACTAGTCTGTAAAACTCCCAAAGTAAAGGAAGTATCTTACTTGTAGCATTCAATGTCTAAAACTATACCAGGTACATAGCAGACACTCAGTAAGTATTGAATAAATTTTGTCTTGGGCTACTAAAGTAGTAGTATATAATAACAAAGTAAAGGTAGGAGTATTTCAAAAAATAAAACACATACACAAATATAAATATGAATCCTATCCCATTCTAAATGCCAGGAATCAGCTCTTTCAAGAGTTAGATAGTACTATCATACACATAAAGCATGTAGCAAAACAGGAGAGGATCTAGAAAAGGACAATCAAAATGATTAGGAGTAAGAACAGACTTGGGGGTATTTATTCTTAAAATGTATTAGTTGCTACATAGTCTTGGAGAATATGAGCACAAATATGTATGCATTTAATCTTTACAGGTATCTAGAAAGGATGAAATCAGCAAAATCTCAGTAAGATGCAGTTCATTAAAAACAAATACAAAAACTAAACACTGAATATTTCATCATTGTCCTGAGGATAAATGCACAAAAGATTAAAGACATTATGAATCATGTTTATAAAGCAGTTGCATAAAAGTGCAAAAAAAGAAATTCCTTTTTACATAAAAGAAACTAAAGTCAGAGTGGCTATTTCTACAGTTAGCTTAACAAAAGCTTAACAAACATTCTCAGTCCAAAGAGTTAAATATATTTATGGAAAAGCAGTATTCTTATAACATAGACAGAAAAATACCAAGATGAAAAATAGATCCATGGTAACAATAGAAATAACTGGTAATGGTAACGTTACTTACGCTTTAAATGAAATAACTACTGAAAATAATGAAATGAACGAACTGTATGATGCCCAGGAAAGATTATGTGAACTGTGGAGGAACACTGTTACTATTCTTTCTGAAAAATGAACTATATTTTAAACTGCTTTACTGTGTTTTATTAATAAAACTAGTGTATTTTGTAAGTATCAGCTACCATTTTACTACTAAACAAGAAAAATGAAAGTCAAAAGAATTACATGTTAATATAGAGTAATTACAGAAATGCTTTCACTTCCACTAATGTCATCTCTAACAGTATCTGATGTACTTTATATAATTTGCTAATTGATTAGATATTTGACAAAAAGCAAAGTTTAATTTTAATTTTTATTTATTTCCCCTCCCACAAAGTTTAATTTAAATCAAACTTTTATTTCTCAGTGGAAAAAGCTCTCTTCATCAGAGGTGGTTGAGCCTTTCCAACATCAAACATCATTTCCAAAGGTGGGTTGTTAAGAGAACACCAATCAGGTATGCGGCCCGTCTGGTTATAATATTCCTTTGAGATTGAACGGCTCCCAAGTATGTCTTGCAATGCTCCAAAAATAGCCCCTGTGTAATAAATATTTTTATAGCTCAGATGAAAACTTTCACCAGAGAACTTTATATACACATCTACTTCATTATAAAGGAGTGAATTGGTGAAATTCAGCAATGCATATTCATACTCTTCAAATTAATTCTAATTGAATTGGTCTATAGTGCATATTATGAAAAAAGGTTAAGTCCTAATTTTAGTGTTGAAAATAACTTAAATGGCATATAGCAAATTATGGTAAAAATGATAAACAGTCTTAAGAGTCTATGCTAAAGAACTTGTGAAGACCGCAAGTCAGTCTTTCAAAAATAACTTACTATTTGTCCTAGCTCAAAATAACATTTTGACCAAACCCTACTTGACAAGAAATATAAAGGCCATTTAAAATGTCAAGAGTTTGTTTTTCTCTCCAAATGATCCTGATTATTATTAGGTGTATAAAACAGGTATTAGAAAGTATACAATTAAATACAACCATGATTGATTTTCTTTTCAAAGTAGTTCCTTATTAAGCTATTTGCTTATTTCAGAGAAATGATCATAAACTAAAACATTCGATGAACTCAGTCACAAAATAAATTGTAACTGTATAAAGAGATCAGTCTTCTTATATAATTCACAAATTAAGGTTTGGAAGGATTTAAAGTAAGTGTTTATAACAATGGTAGCAACACTGGAGTAAATTCATAGCTACTGCTATTATGAGGAAGGACTTTAATTGGATGAAGAAGTTTACTTAAAAAAATTAACATGCAAATGCCAAGAGAAAATAGTTATAATTTTGAAAATTAACAATTTAAGAATATTCAAAGAAAAACATTTAATAATTCTATTAGTTTAAGTGGCCAATTTTGAATACTGAATCAACTATTCTAATAATCCATAAGTGATATCATTCAGGATCTAATTACACATGGTTTATTTATATTTAAACTAAATTCTTACCTCCCAACCAGGCCACACAATTAGCTTTTGCAGGTGGAGTATGAATGCGGAATGTCTTGGTGCCAAGTGTTGTTTTATATTTTGGTTTTTCTACCAAATACCTTATTTCTGCAAGTAATCTGTGTAGAAATCCTGGCAACATTGATGTGCCACCGATGACTACCAAATTTTCTGACAGTTGCTTCCTGGTGTCTATTGGGCACTGGTATTAAAAGAGAAAAAAAAAAAAAACCCAATTTATCCTTAAGTGATAAATAATGAGTGACTGGATTTAAAAAATACATAGATTATTTCTGCATTACAAATTAAATGTGAACATTTGTATTACAAAAAGGACCACAAGAAAGTTTCTTTAATAAAGAAATTCTTCATATAGTAAATATAAACCCTATGATAATATTGCCATATACTTATATAGAACTTTAAAGATATTAAAGTCTTTTAAAATCTAATAGCTATAATTTTAAATTCCACAGGGCATTTAGTAGTAATATGTGAGTCTTATTTCCATGGTAGAATGACTGAGTTGAGCAAAAAACATGAGAATAAAAAACTTTTGTATTTCAGTAAGGAAGGTGTGTGAAAACTTCATTTTCTAAAAGGTGCTATGTTAGAGTAGGAAGATACAGTCAGAGCCACGGTTGAGTATGAAGATAAATTCTCAGAAAAATTATGTTTCCACATCAGTGCTAAGAATTAGGAATGTTTAAGTCCTAATGTTTAAGTCCTAAAAACATGATGTTTTTCATAAAAGTTCCTGGAGTCCTAGAAATAGATAAAAGCTTCCAAAGCAATAATATTTCATCTGGAATTCTATGATCCCATAGTCATTAAACTAAATAGACTAATTATCATGAACCCTGTGGAATTTAAAATTCAACAATATATAAACCTACATTTTGAAGAACTACATGGTATACTAGGTACAAAATAAAAATCTGTTATCATTGCTCTGGAAAAAATACATGTTATGTGCATAACATTCATTACCCTGGGTTTGAAATGTGTAGGTACTATATCTCACCATCAAAGTAAAACTCATTAACTATAAAAATTACCATAAAATCATTGGAATTATAACCAATGGTTAAAATAAAAATACAGAAAATAGGATTTAAATTTTTTCTTTAAGGAATTATAGTCAAACACTGATTTTTTTAAAATAAAATTAAAATACCTGCATAAGAGAATCCAATATCAAAGTAGCAACTGACTTCTCTTCATTATCTTGTTCAAAGAGAATTTCCACAACTGAATCTCTGAAATTAAAAGCAGAATTTTCTGTTGGCATCACTTAATGACACAGAATATACCAAATCCTTTTAGCATATTTTTAAGTAACATTAACTATGTTAATACAGAATAATTATTAAAACAAAAGGTGTTCTCATTTGTAATGAGACAAATGTAATAAGGAGAATAACAGAATCTGCCACATAGTGGAGAAGTCAATGAGCTAACAGGACAGTACATAGCACATAGAACACACTCTGTTAAGTATTAGCTACAACTATTATTATGTATAGATTTACACATTTTTTTACACTAAATATCGCCCTAAACTTAACAGTAAAAAAGACATGGAATTCTATAAAAGCTAGTAAGATTCAACAAGTAGTTCAGCAGTGCCATGGGAGATTAAAAATCAACAACCGCCGCCCCCCTCTTCCACAAAGCACTTGTTTCAAAAATAATACATAGCAAAGATTGCTAGCTGCCTAATAAAATTCTCATTTTCCATTGTCCTGTTCATTCTGAAAGGATGTTTGGGCCCTTGATGGGAGCTGTCATATCATCCCTGGACTATCTACTGCAGAACTTTTTTTTTTTTAAAGGTTCATTTTATTTATTTATGCATACAAGAGCTGGGGTCTAGGTCAGAGGTGTGGGGGGAGGTGAGGGGATTTACCAGAGACAGAGCAGGGAGCAGAACAGGCAGACTGACTGAAATACACTGCTGAGGGGAGCAGCGGGCAAGTCAGGAGAGGTCTGCTGCACCATGTGAGTAGCTCCCTGGCCGGGGATCGAACCCTTGCTGCAGTGGCTGTGGACAGCTTCATAGGTTGCATCTTAACCACTTGTGCCACCAGGGAGGCCCAGGAGAAGTCTGCTGTGCCTTGTGAGTTAGCTCCCTGGCCAGTGATCAAACTAGTGCTGCAGCTGCTGCAGTAGCTTCTTAGTGCTGAGACTTAACCCCTCGCGCCACCAGGAAGGCCCCTACTGCTGAACTTCTCTTTTAAGTGAGAGACAAGCTTCTATTTTGTTGAAGTCATTATTTTCAGGTTTGTATTAACTTGTGGCCAAACTTATCTCTATCCAATGCAATTGAAAACTGTACCTACACATATCACCATGCTTTTTTTTATATACATAAAATGTATATCATGCTATTTTAAGCTTTCTTGAATCTTTCTCAAAACAAAATTCTCATCATGAGACTCAATCTACTTGCTAACTGTGCATTTTATCAGTAAAGTAATATTGAGGCCTGCAGCATGCTAAGCATTCATGGTTAGTCAATCATTTGCTGTTATGTCTACACACTTGTGATTCTAACAGTTGAGTGACAAATGATCAGTATTCTTTATTTAAATCTTTCATTGTTGATTTGATACTGAAATTACAAAATTTAACAATTACAACTTAATCAATGAACTATTATGATGAAAAAAAAACTTTTATATGAACTATGCTGAATGTTCTAGAAAGACCAAATAATTTTTAAAATGTTTTTAATATAGGTCATGTCACTGTAAAGTCTGTAAGAAAATATCTAGGATTCTGTACCAAGACTGATTCATAAGTAACTTTAAAGTGAAAATCATAAACCATGAATTACTGGTCTATGAAAATTTAGTAAGTGCTCTGAAGCACACCTATGCTCAAAGAAAAGGTCTTGTAAAAAAGTTTTGCAAATAAACACATCTTTTATAAATTTTTAGTTAAAATATATATTGAGAATGATTTTTTAAAATGGTCCTTTACTTTCAAGGACCCTTTAGATTTACATCTAATAAGGTTTCAATGGAACTAGATTATTTTGGTAAGGAAAACATGTTATTAAACAACTGAAAATTGGGTTTGGAAAGTGAAACTGTAGTTTTTTTTTTTTTTTAATTTCAGTCCAGTTCTTTATATTTTAATTTTTTTATTGTGGTAACACTTTTATTTTTATTACTAATGTATATTCCTATTATTATGTAACTGAAAGTTCTATGTTAGCTCAATTTCCTTAAACACTTATTTTCTCTTATCCTTAAACAATTGTTGTTTTCTCTTATTCTGGGCGCTAGTAAACAATCAGAAGAAAATTTAAAATAATAATTTACTAAATATAAAGTTAAATAGGAGGTACAATAAGAAATTACTACTGAAAAGTATCCCAGTTATACTTTTGTTCCCCTATTAGCTTTGATTTCAATGTACTTACGTTCATTCTTTTAATATCTCAACCTCTACATTAATTATCTCAAAATCTGACAGGACTTTCAATATTTACATTATAATTCTTTTCTGTCCATCTTCTTACCTAACTTTTTGCAGAAAATTTTTTGAAATTTATTTTATTTATTTATGCATACAAGAACTGGGGTGTAGACCAGAGATGTGGGATGTGAGAGGATTCACCACAGACAGAGCGGGAAGCAGAAAAAGCAGATCTACTGAAATACACTGCTGAGGGGGAGCAGTGAGCAAGACAGGAGAGGTCTGCTGCGCTATACTGGTTAACTCCCTGGGCGGGGATTGAACTCATGCCACAGTGGCTGGCAATAGCTTGACAGCGCTGAGACTTTAACACCTGCGCCACCAGAGAGGCCCTTGCAGAAACTTTTATAATACAATTTTTCTAAAGCTTGGGTATAAACAAAAATATTGTTACCAAATAATTATATAAATCTTGAACAACTTCTACTGCATCATTAGAATAATCTAATGAATAATAAAAGGTAAATTACTAACTTATCTTAAAGATGGCAACATTTGGAAGAATGTACTCTTTCGAACAAAATAAGGTTTTAAAGTGTAAGTCAGCAAACTATGGCTGTAATCCAAATTCAGCCCACTGGAACACTGGTAAGTTCATTCACTTACATATTGTCTATGACTGATTTTGCAATTTTAGAGCTGAACAGCCAGAACAGAAGTCCATGCTATTTACTGTCAGGAAATTGGTCAGGAAGTCCAAGCTATTTACTGTCTGGTCTTTTATAGAAAACATTTGCTGAACCCCGTTTTAACATATCCTACCTCACACTCCATATCAAGAAATGGTTAGTTCCGTTAATTAAACTATGGATTATCTTGGTGAACAGTAAAGAATTTTTTAAGTTGAATAATAAAATTAATCATGAATGATGGGACTTAATGAAAAACACAAAATTATCAAATCGATACTACTTCAGGTTTATACAAATATTTTTAAAAAAATGTATCAGTTCATCATTTAGCTCATAAAAATGCCTAACCTGATTGATCCAAGGACATGTAAAATTTTCTCTCCATCTAATGGGTAGTCAACATCTGGGGGTGGTAAAGGACGCTGAAAAAGAAAAAGGTGTAAGCATATGCCTTATAATTTTTGAATAAAGAATATACAATTATTTTTAACTTACCTCAGTATTGCCATCAATATTAAATTTTGCTGCTTGGATGTTCAGTCCACGTTTCAGATCACTTACAAAGCAAGTGCGCACTTGACAGAAAGAACAGGAGACTCTTGTCATGATTTGTAACTGAATCAATTTATGTCCCGGTAAAATAATTTAGGTGGCATGCTAATTACATATTTCTTCAGATTACATAAACTATCCCAGTCTTTAGGTAGCTTATGTTGATTTACTCATAAAAGAAAAATTTCTTGATTCAGAGAAGTTATAAGACATGCTGCATTTTCCTTTTCCATAAAATCACTTTTTAAAAGATCACCTTTGAGAAAATTATTGTTTTTGATACTCTGTATCCTGAATACTATAATAAAAATAAATTTTAATATTATGAAAATGTACCTGTTTTAATTGAACAGCATGTTTCTTTGCACCACACTGATTTATATTTCCATTTAAATATGGTTCCTTTTAAAAATCTTGGTCAGAACACAAGCACAATTTTGCTCATAGTTATAGTAACACTCTTTATTATTTAATTTGTGATTATTTTCACCCTTTGGCACACAACACTAATAATTTCCTTTTACTGTATCTTTTTTTTTTTGCATTGGAACATTTATTCTCCTCATGATCGTTTCTATTACAAAATACTTCTTATATTAGACTGTTTCAAATTATTTTCAGGAATAGGTAAGGAATAAAAAGTATTTTTAAGGAGAGACAAAACTGATGCTAAAGGCAAGAATCCAAATGATTTGATTAATTGCTTGCAAAATATGTTAAATATTTATTATACAATTCTTTTTACTACTCCAAAATGTATTTGTAAAGAATCTACAATATGCTAATGTGCTAGACAGTAAGGTGTTCATGTTGCTTATATACTTTATACTTTATTTGAGGCCTAATAAATTTTTTTTTTAATTTTTTTTTTTTAAAGATATATTTATTTATTTACACAAGCACTGGGTACAGTCAGAAGTGCAGGAGGGTGAGAGAATTCACCAGAACCAGATCAGGGAACAGAACAGGCAGACTGATGAAGTACACTGCTGAGGGGAGCAGCGGGCATGGCAGGAGAGGTCTGCGTGCCATGTGGGACCCTCGCCTGGCGGCCGGGGATCGAACCAGCGCTGCAGAGGCTGCAGGCAGCTTCGCAACCTAGCGCTCAACCACTGCGCCACTGGGGAGGCCCGAGGCCTAATAAATTTTTAAGCAAGGTAGATACTCAGCCTTCGGGATCTCATGAGGCAGGTACCCTTCTATAAAGAAATCAAAGTCACTGAATTAAAAATCTAAGATAAGATTAAGAATTTGTAAATAAAAAAATTTAGGTAATTAACCTAGGTAACTAATGAGTACTTGAGAGTTGCATATTTCCTCTTAACCTGGACAGGTTCCTACTGTACATATGATTCCAAAGCATGCTTAATGTAGTTATCCTTCCAAATCAACACCTCTAGTTTCTTTTTTAAGAGCTATGAGGAATGCCTTATGAAGTTACCAAACTTCATTCAATATTCTCATCTTAGGATGCTCACTTCCAATTTTAATAAATATGGCAGATTGTTTTCCAAAAAGATTGGTTTTAGGGCCTCCCCGGTGGCGCAGCGGTTGAGCACTGGGTTGCGAAGCTGCCTGCAGCCTCTGCGGCGCTGGTTTGATCCCTGGCTGCTCCCTGGCTACTGGAGGAGGGTCCCACATGGCGCGCAGACCTCTCCTGCCGCCCGCTGCTCCCCTCAGCAGTGTACTTCGGTCCTTCTGCCTGCTCTGCTCCCCGCTCTGGCTCTGGTGAATTCTCTCACCCTCCCACACTTCTGACTGTACCCAGTGCTTGTATAAATAAATAAATAAATCTTAAAAAAAAAAAACAAAAAGATTGGTTTTGAATCCTTACTGTTAATAATATATACTCATTTTCTCACAATTTCACAAATACTAAGTATCTTTCAATTTTTTGACTAATGGGAAAGTTAACATTTCTTTTTTTTAGCTCTAACTCTACCTATTTATGTAACACTGAACAAATCACCTAATATTTTGGAGGCACCAACTACTAAATTATCTCCAAGTCCCATTTAACTCTAAAATCCATTACTATCTAATTCCCTATTAAATATTCTAGAATATTATTTTTTTTTAAGATATTTATTTATTTATTTATTTATTTATTTATTTATACAAGCACTGGGTAGAGTCAGAAGCGCGGAGAGGGTGAGAGAATTCACCAGAGCCAGAGCAGGGAGCAGAGCAGGCAGAAGGACCGAAGTACACTGCTGAGGGGAGCAGCAGGTGCCAGGAGAGGTCTGTGCGCCATGCGGGACCCTCCTCCGGTGCCTGGGGAGCAGCCAGGGATTGAACAGGCGCTGCAGAAGCTGCGGGCAGCTTCGCAATCCAGCGCTCAACTGCTCCACCACCGGGGAGGCCCTCTAGAATATTATTTTTTACATGTCAGTCTAAGTACTAAGGAACGTTATGTTTTTTCTTTTAGTGAATTAAAATTCCTGAAAAATGTGATTACCATAAAAACACTCTAGCAAAGTAGAAGCAATCTGTCTTACTCAACTGAATCTTGTATAGTTTATCCCCAACTCTAGAATTTATGAAGTCAACTAATTAACTGCTCTTATAAAAATATACAAAAACTTTAGATTAAAAAAAAAAAACTCTAAAACATCAAACTAGTGGATTTCTTTTTAACAGGCCACAGATGTGGATTTTTTCCCCCCACCTATCATGCATGAATAGGGAATGAATTCCAGCAGCTCTTTCCCACTGGCTCTCACTAAGTATGTTCCTTTGGAGTAGACTGGTGCTTCAGTTGAACACCAGTAGCATTCTATTTGGCTTCCTTTTTGTCCTGATGATTTTCTTCCCCAAGTTTCAGGAAGCTATCTTGGGTCTTAGAGTGCTTAATGTGTTAAATATGAACATTAATTCTCTAGGCAATAATCATGAACTTTGTTTGCTTACAATGCCACTGCAAGCTAGGAAGCATTACAGACTTCCAGTCTTGCCATGGTAACATTTGTGAGGCATTCCTTTTTGAACAGTGCCCACTCCCTTAATGTTACAATATTACCTTTTTTGTAGATTCACATGTATATGGCCAAAGAAAGAACCCCATATTTTTGAAAAGACTTAGAGAACGTAGAGCAGGTGCCTCTCCTATTTCCCTTTGTGTTGGTCATTTTGATGACTTACGGGAACATAGCAGTTCTGGCTGAAAGGGTAGTGGCTTTTTTAAGCAATTTAACTGTTATTTCATATATTGTGCAAACTATTTCCCTAGTAATCTGTATACTCTATAATCAAGAGGCTGCTTCAACAGCACATCATAAATAATGCCAAAGCCCCCAAAATCTTAAGAAAAATAAAAAGTTTTATTTACTTATTCTATAGCCTAAATATTAAATATTTTTAGAATACTACAGGATGACTATATATGGTATCTGTGTAAATATTTACAAACAAATGCTCTTCACACTGGTACTTAAAGATAGGGACAAAAAGAGAACTAACTTTACCTTTAATGTCTTCTAAGACACCTTCTGGAATCGAACCTGAAATATAATTTATTCACAATTATAAAACTTTAATAAGCAGAAATAGTCTGTTAAATTGCACTCACATTTCTATTTTCCATTTCAGTAAAATTTTAAAAAATTACTGTGATATTTTTAAAGCTAATTAACTTTATATTTAGGGAAGAAGCTTCACTCAAAGCCAAGCCAAAGCACAGAAGTTGAAGCCAGATGTGTACAAAGTTGTATAAGATGTCAAGGACTTGTAAATTTGATAAAAATAAGACCTTAAAAACATAATAGAAGGAACTGAAAGAATTTGGTAACTCAGTCGTTTAAATAGAAGATGTTATCTTTGTCTAAGAATAATTTGTTGAAATAAATTTGGGAGAACAGATGATGTGCTCACTTTTAGAAATCTTAAGTTTGAAATTCCTAAAGACATGCCTAATTTATATCTAATAATCATTTAGAAAAATGAATATCATATTTAGAAGAGGGTTAGGCCTTCTTCTGAAAATCAGCAGCATACAGATGTAGTTGTAGTCAAGAAAATAGAAGAGAACACTTTCAAAAAGCCAGTAAAAAGAAAAAAGGAAAAGATAAAAGCCTAGGGGAACACTGGCAGGACCAGCAAGAGCAGAGGAATCCAAGAAGGAATACTTGAAGAAACAGACCACCATAAAGGAGGAGTCCTGAAAGCCCAGGAAGAGAGAAAATAAAGAATACTAGATAATCCACCTTGTCAAAAATTCTAGAAAAGAATGACTAAAATTAAACTACTGGATATGGATGATTAAGAGCTCATTAATGATAGTCTTAAGAGCAATGTCATTCGAGCAATATGGTAGGTGAAAGAGTGACTTATAATGGGATAAAAAACAAAAACAAGTCCAACAACGAAAAGGAACCACTCTTAAATAGCTTTAAATGATTTTACCCATCACAGAGGGAAGGCTCTGTTCTTTAGCAGCACCTGTGTCAACAGTACACTGTTCCAATAGTTGAGTTTCCAACTCCCTGAAGGTAAAAAAAGACACCAGAATTAAAATAATGTAATTGATATACTTTTCTTATTTAATACTTTTATTACATAATAGATCATGGTGCTTTAAGTGTTCTTATTCTTAAAAAGTGAATACATTCAAAGCTAATATGGAAAGAAATGAGTAACACTGAATATCCAAATTACCTCAACTGACTGTCAAAGAAATTAGCATTTGCTGTTGTGGCACAGGTGAAGCAAACATGCTAAATTCCAAAAACTTACTTGTGAAGAGCTCTTCCTCCTAGGGGGAGTGCACCCCAACAATTTAATACAGGGATTCCTTCATATATCTACAGAGTAGTAAAGGAAATTACTATTTTAGGAAATAGAATATTTTCCCCATCTTCTGCAGTATTGCTCTATCAGTTTTGCTGGTTAATTCTTGTAGGGTAAGGTAAAAGGTAGCAGGCTTTTCTGCCCTCCCGCCATCAGGATAGATGAGGGAACCCTGTGGTCCTGAATGCATGCCTGATGGCAGGCACCTGAAGTGGGTACACCTGGGCTGAGAGACTGGACATTTAAGGGCAGCGTCACGGGGACACCAGCAGCAGCAGAAGCTGAAAGAGAAGCCGAGAGAGCAGAGAACGCAGGAAAGTCCAGATAGAGTGAAGACTTGCTGGGCCAGCCTCCTGGTCCCCCAGCATCCCTGCCTGCTGTGTACCGGGTAAACCCCAATAAAAGCCTGCAAAAAGCCACTGAGGGCTCTAGGACTCTGACTCCGCCTTTACCCAGTCTGTTGGATCAGAAAACCCGCACTGTGGTATTCCTGACCCCTACAAATCTTTTTTCTTATTTTTAAAAGAATTAAAGAACTATCAAGGAATCATATCCACATTATTGTCCAAAGGAAAAAGGTCAAACACACACACACACACAATTCATTAAAGCTGGTGTGTCCAAAAGAGTAGCCACGGCCATGTTGTGGCTAGTGGGTCCGTGAAATGAGATGTGCTGTGAGAATAAACTATGCACAAATTTAGCAGACTTAATACAAAAGACCTCGGAAAAATAGCTCGTAATTTTCTACATCAATTGTATACGGGAATATTCTGAATATACAGTATTATAAATATACTACTTTCACCTCTTTCATTTATACTTTAAAAAGTATAGCTTAAAGAATTTTAAATTTCATGTCTTAGATTTGTTTCCATTAGAGTTGAGAGGATAGTGAACAAATATACTGTGGGCTGCTACTTTGCTCTTGGGTCAACTACACATCCCAACATTAATCTTTTCATTTATATAATAAAGAGAATAAGGGCACCTCCCTGGTGGCACAGAGGTTAAGCCTCAGTGCTATCAAGCTATCGCCAGTCACTGAGGCATGAGTTCTATCCCCAGCCAGGGAGCTAACACCTCATCAGTGTGCTTCAGTAGATCCACCTGTTCTGCTCCCCACTGTCACTAATGAATCCTCTCACACCCCCACCCCCACCCCTCTAGCCTATACCCCAATTCTTGAATGCATAAATTTAAAAAAAATCTTAAAATATATATATATAATATATAGAGAGTAATACTATTTGCAGGGTTATTTTAAGACTTAATATAAAATCCTTATATTTTAAAAGTTACTGCCTAATTTCTTAGGATCTAATAATGTTTGATTCCTTCCCATGAGTATTTCTTCTAACAAATATACTGGAAATTGCAAGCCCTGCACTTAGTACTTCATTATCCTTTTCAATAAAGCAACATTCTCTGTAACAATTCTAACAGACATAAATTTTACTCTGATTAAGTGCTTCTAATGACAAGGAATGTTCCAGTTTACAGTCAGTAATTATATTTTGAGAGAGCTTGAACATTCTAATTTTCTTGATGGAACATTTCTCTAACTACTTTTCATATGATTTTGTAGAACTTGATGCCCATAGTCAATTTTTGGATACATCTTAATTAGCTAAAGCTACTCTTAAAAGTTGAAAATAATACTCATGAAGTCTGATCCCCGGAGTACACACTGGGACCAAGTTATGATAATTTCTACAAAAAGCAAATTTAAGTCTATTTTTTTAATCTTTTCCACATGGCAATTCTTTTTTGTACACAGTTAACATGGGTGTTTGACACAATTAAAAATCAGTTACAATAAATAACCCTAATTATTTCAAAATAGAGCAAAAACTGCAAAATTAACTGGTTGTCAAAAAAGATACAGGTAACACCAGGCTTTCCCTATATCCACAATCCAGGACCATGGCAGAGTTTATTCCAAGTGTCAGAAGAGCCATTAGATGACTTGGAGCGAGCAGGACAGATGGAACCTAGAAAACAACAAAACCAGAACAAGCATAACAACAAAAAAACAGAATAAGTATCAGTAATTAAAGGTGTTTCTCTTCTATTTCAAATATATTTGAAAAAATTCACAGAGACAAATACTCATGTAGAATATGAAGAAAAGGAAGAGATAAAATTAAACTAAAAGAAACCCTAGAAATATGTAAAATTGAGGGTACCAGAGGACATGGTGAGCATTGATTGATTTTTACTAAATTGATTTTTACGAAAAGTGAAAACACTCTTAAAGTTCTCTAAGCTGTTGGGCCTCCCCTGGTGGCGCAGCAGTTGAGTGCTGGGCTGTGAGGCTGCCCGCAGCCTCTGCACAGCGCTGGTTCATTCATCAGCCACCGGTGAGGGTCCCACCAAAAAAAAAAAAACTTCTCTAAGCTGTTTCATTCCAAATGACAATTTAGAAGCATTTTTAATGCTTATTTTCTCTCTTTTGGAAGAAAAACTGAAAGGATAAAACAAGAGATCCAGAAACAAATTCAAAGGAAGATGCTAAATTTAAAAAAGAGATAATTTACAATCAAAATAAAAATACAGAACAGGGCCTCCCTGGTGGCATAAGGGGTTAAGCACCACACTATGAAGCAATCTGCAGCCTCTGCAGCATGAGTTTGATCCCTGGCCAGCCAGGGAGCAACCTACATGGCGAAGCAGACCTCTCCCGACTTGCCCGTTGCTCCCCTTAGCAATGTACTTCAGTCAATCTGCCTGTTCTGTTCCCCATTTTGTCTCTGGTGAATCCTCTCACCCCCCACATCTCTGGCCTGTACCCCAGCTCTTGTATGCATAAATAAATCAATCTTAAAAAAATAAAATAAAATAAAAATACAGAACAAAGAATTCTTTTGTTTGCAATTATGTTATTTTTTATTGAGGTAATGTTGGTTTACAGTGCTGCATATGAATGAGAAGTACAGATTTACACATCTTCAGAATTATGTTATCATACAATACACATCTTTAGTAATCCTTCACCAAGACCACTGGGTTTCCCATTTGCTCTCCATGTCCTCTGGTATCCTCAATTCTACATATTTCTAGGGTTTCTTTTAGTTTAATTTTATCTCTTCCTTTTCTTCATATTCTACGTGAGTATTTGTCTTTAACCAATTATTTCCATTTAGCGTAATTCCTTCAGAAAAAAATTCTTGATTATCTTTATTCACAAAGTTTGTATCATGAACCAAAATTACAATTTTTTTTTTTTTTTTTAAATAGAGGCATGTTTTATTTATTTATTTATTTGTTTGTTTGTTTTGTTTATACATGCACTGGGTACAGTCAGAAGCGCGGGAGGGTGAGAGAATTCACCAGAGCCAGAGCGGGGAGCAGAGCAGGCAGAAGGACCGAAGTACACTGCTGAGGGGAGCAGCGGGCAGGAGGGGTCTGCGCCCCATGTGGGACCCTCCTCTGGTGGCCGGGGAGCAGCCAGGGATCGAACCGGCGCCGCAGAGGCCGCGGGCAGCTTCGCAACCCAGCGCTCAACCGCTGCGCCACCGGGGAGGCCCCAAAATTACAAATTTTAACTGTATTGTAATTAGAATTAAATTGAAGAACCACAAAGCCTTATCTCTGTGTGACATTTTGTAGCGAATCTGCCACATCTGGCCACATCTAGCAGATATTCAAAGTACAAAAGTCTATCAAATCAAAACCAAATGTCAAAAAAAACAGTGATCGTGTTTCCCTTATCTAACTAGATACAGTAGGCATCCTACTGATTTGAGATAAGGATACTAGTACAAACACAACGAATATTCGATGTTAAAGTATAAATGCAAAGAATCACCTATTCAGGTAATGTGACTTCTTACTGCTTTGTATCCTTCCTATTGTAAATCAAATGCCTAAATCTATGACAGTAAGTATAGCAGCAGGGTATGTAATCTGTTTCTTTGTGCCTATCTTACTAAATTGTAACAACTTAGAAATATTAACTGTCCTTGATTTCATAAAGATATTTTTGGTATGTTTTTAATTCAGCAGAATGTATGAAATATACTTAAATGTGTTTAATTTGTTCTATACTATACACATTTTATACAACCTTCTAGTTGACTTTGCTGAAGAGTCCTCAATTCCTAAGACATGGATTTTCAAAAACTTAAATAACAAGGACTTCAATCTACTATAATCACCTTTAATGATAATTTTAGTCTTTAGAATAATCTTGACTACTATAAAATGAAAGTTACAAGTAATATTATTGATATCAAAACATAAGTTATTAATTTTGAATATCCCCTAGTAGAAATTTAAAGCCTCAAATGAAAGAACTAAAAATTCAGAACAGTCTGCATAACTAAACAATGGAAACTAGAAAGACCTGAAAGTAACTCCACAGCACAAAACATATCTTTTAATCCTGGAAGGGGGAAAAAAAAAAAAAAGGAAACATCAAAAAGTGCCAATTTTCTAAGTTCTGGATGAAATGCTAATTTAGCATGAAGTAAACATAAGTAGTCATTTGAAGAGAACTCAGTTCTCAGTTTACTTATCATCTGGTTCCTTAAATACATTGTGTAGTATCTACAATGCAGGAGATAAAGTAAGAAACTTCAAGTTTAAACTCTGAGTACCTACCAAAAACAACAGCACTATAACAAAGGAGAATCTACGCTGGAGAAGGGAATAAAGTCCCTTCAACAAATGGTGCAGGGAAAACTGGTCAGCCACATGCAGGAAAGTGAAATTAAACTACTCTCGCACACCACACACAAAAATTAAGTCAAAATGGATTAAAGACTTGGATATAAGAAGGAAACCATAAAACACACAGGATAAAACATAGGCAAAACACTTCACGACTCTGGCTTCACAGATGTCTTTCAGGACTAAACTATCAGCAAGAAAAACAAAAGCAAAAATAAACAAATGGCACTACATCAAACTAATATGCTTCTGCACAGCAAAAGAAACTGTCATTAAAATGAAAAGACAGGGCCTCCCCGGTGGCGCAGCGGTTGAGCGCTGGGTTCCGAAGCTGCCCGCAGCCTCTGCAGCGCCAGTTCGATCCCCGGCTGCTCCCCGGCCACCGGAGGAGGGTCCCACATGGCGCGCAGACCTCTCCTGCCGCCCGCTGCTCCCCTCAGCAGTGTACTTCGGTCCTTCTGCCTGCTCTGCTCCCCGCTCTTGCTCTGGTGAATTCTCTCACCCTCCCGCGCTTCTGACTGTACCCGGTGCTTGTATAAATAAATAAATAAATATTAAAAAAAAAAAAAAAAAAAAAATAAAACAAAATGAAAAGACAGGCAGCACTCCCACTGCCCACCTGTGACCCTGCAGGTGCTTCCTTTCACCAACCCTCTCCCCCTGCAGGGCAGCAGCCTCCTGCCTGCCCGTGACCTGTACCAAGTCAGGACTTCTCTTCACTGACCTCCCTCAGCGGAGGCAGCTCTCCTCAAGGCCGCCTGCCTGCAATGATGCAGGCCTCTCTTAGCAAACCTGTCCCTTTTGGGGCAGCTCTTTCTGCCCGCTTATGTCTATGCAAGTGCCTTTTACTCTTCTGTCCCTTCCCAAATAAACCTGTTCTTTAAATATAAAAATAAAATAAAAATAAAAAATAAAATAAAATAAAAAGACATCTGGGCCTCCCTGGTGGCACAAGTGGTTAAGATGCAACCTATGAAGCTGTCCACAGCCACTGCAGCAAGAGTTCGATCCCCGGCCAGGGAGCTACCCACATGGTGCAGCAGACCTCTCCTGACTTGCCCGCTGCTTCCCTCAGCAGTGTATTTCAGTCAGTCCGCCTATTCTGCTCCCCACTCTGTCTCTGGTAAATCCTCTCACCCCTGATGCCTCTGGCCTGTACCCCAGTTTTTGCATGTATAAATAAATCTTAAAAAAAAAAAAGAAAATGAAAAGACATCTACTGAATGGGTGAAAATATTTTCACATCATATATCAAACAAGAGGGTTAATATCCAAGATCTACAAAGGATTCAGACAACTCAACAAAAAGGAAACAAAGACCCAATCGAAAATGGGCAGAACTAAATAAACACTTATTCAAAGACATACATATACCTGGCCAACAGGCATATGAAAAAATGTTCAACATAACTCATCATCATGGAAATAGAAATCAAAACCACAATGAGATATCTCACTCCAGTGAGAATGGCCCATATCAAAACAAAAACAATGAAGGAATCCTAGAGCCATATTGGTGGGAATGACTGGTCTAGCTGCTATGAAAAACTATTATGGAGATTTCTCAAAATATTAAAAATAGATCTGCCATATGATCCAGCAATTCTAGTCCTTGATATCTACCTAAAGAATGCAAATACAAATTTGAAGGGATACATGTACTCCTATACATACAGCAGCACTATTTACAAAATCAAGTTATGGAAACAATCTAAATGCCCATAGGTAAGAGTAGTGGATTAAGAAGATGTGATATTACAAAGAGCTGATGAGACTCAACAAAAACAAAGAAAATAATCCAGTCAAAAAATGGGCAGAAGAGCTAAAAAGAAACTTCTCCAAAGAGGAAATGCAAATGGCCAATAGGCATATGAAAAAATGTTCAACATTACTTGTAATCAGGGAAATGCAAATCAAAATGAGATACCATCTTACACCAGTGAGAACGGCACATATTAAAAAAACTAGCAACAACAAATGTTGGCGAGGATGTGGAGAAAAAGGAACTCTCCTGCACTGCTGGTGGGAGTGCAAAATGGTTTAACCACTATGGAAAGCTGTATGGAGATTCCTCAACCCACCAAAATAGAGCTTCCATATGATCCAGCAATTCCACTCCTAGGTATTTACCCAAAGGACACAAAAACATTAATTCAAAAGGGCACCTGCACCCCTATGTTTATAGCAGTGCTATTTACAATAGCTAAGCTATGGAAACAACCCAAATGCCCAAAAATAGATGACTGAATCAAGAAGATGTGGTATATATACACAATGGAATATTACTCAGCAATCAAAAAAGATAAACTCATGCAATTTGCAGCAACATGGATGGAGCTGGAAGGGATCATGCTCACCGAAATAAGCCAGAAAGAAAAAGAAAAATACTGGATGTTCTCACTCATAGCAGGAATCTAGAAAACCCAAATAAGGGGCCAGGAAAAAGACTAATTATAATAAAGATAAAAAATAAAAAAGCAACTATAAACCAGAGACACACTATGGGGTGCAGGGGAAGGGAAGGGGGCGTTAGGGTCAAAATAAGGGGGGTGGAATTGTATGGGGAATATAACCAAAATGAAAATGCACACATTGTGCAAAAATGAAAAATGATGTAAGAATTATATAAAATAAAATATATTAAATAAAAAAAAAGATGTGATATATAAACAGAATGGAATACTACTCAGCTACTGGGGAAAAAAAAACTCTTGCCATCTGTAACAATATGGATGGAACTGGAGGGTATTAAACTAAGTGAAATAAGTCAGAAGGAGAAAGAAATACTGGATGATGATTTCACCTTTATGTGGAAAACAGAGAAACAAAACAAAGAAACTGATAAAAATCAAAACAAAGTCTAGAAATCTGACTGCAAAACTGAGGATACTAGAAGGTGGTGGGAGAAGGCCTACAAATAAAAAAGGAGTCAGGCAGTTTATGGTAAAGGACTATAGGTGCTTTGGTGGTGGGTGTGGTGTGGGGACACACATCCCAGAAGCTGTGAATCTATTCTCCTAAATAATATGCAGTGTTGTAAACAAATGCTACATCCAAAATAATAATAATAATTCAGAAAACAACAGGTACCTCAAAATATTTGAACAGGACACGAGTAAGTGTCTCTCTGAAGTGGGAAGGACATAATACCGACTCAATGACCACAACTCGGCGATCTCTGGGATTCACCAACAAGTGCCTGAAAAACAAGTTTTATTTTTAAAAATAAATAAAAGCTTGCATTTATTTTGGTACATACAGCAATATGTTAAGGATGGAAAAACCATCCCATCTTAGCTTAAAATGCTCAGTGATAAAAATACATCTCCATTTTATTACATGGGAAAGAAATAAAATTTTCTGCTCTCTTACTACTGCCACAGTGATCTCAGGATCTTAAATTCGGAAAAATAAACAACAGGTTACTATGACTACTAACTTGAGCCATTGAAATTTTTTTTTCAGGTTACAAAAGTAATATAAGCTCACAAAACTCCAAATGTTAAGGAATAATTTGTGTATCTTTATTATTGTATATGTATATGCATATGTTTTAAGAGCTATATATTCCAAAGATTTTGTTCTGCAACTTGCTTTTTTTCCATTTACCAATATATCTGAGACACCTTTCTGGATCAATACATGAGAACATATTTATTTTTTTCTGAGCAGTTTGCTTAAAAACACTCACCAGTGTTTTTTAATGACTATACCATGTTTCATTATATGGTTCAATGTACAATTATCCAATCTCCTTTAGTAGTGGACATTTGATTTGTTTTCAGTATTTCCTTGTTTGCCAGTTTTCCAGCTCAAATATATTTTTGAAAAGCTGTAAATAATAAAATCTGAGTGGAAGTCAACTTCTCTTTTTCTGCAGCAGATGAAATACAACCAATGTCTTGTGACTGAAATTAGAAAAATCTAATCTCAACAACTGGGCAAGAAAACAAGCATAATTACATCTTACCTGAAATATAGTATGTGGATGAATTCCTTTAAGTAGGAATATAATTCTTCTGTATTGATATTATATTGAACAACTTTGATAGGCTATAAAAGATTAAAGTGATTTATTAATTTATGAGATAAATCTTGTATTAAAACATGCTTCTGGGCCTCCCTGGTGGTGCAAGGGGTTAAGACGCAACCTATGAAGCTATCTGCAGCTACTGCAACGCGAGTTTGATACCCAACCAGGGAGCTATCCACATGGTGTAGCAGACCTCTCCTGACTTGCCCACTGTTCCCCTCAGCAGTGTATTCAGTCAGTCTGCCTGTTCTGTTCCCCATTCTGTTTCTGGTGGATCCTCCCACCCCCATGCCTCTGGCCTCTACTCCAGTTCTTGTATGCATAAATAAATAAATAAAATAAAATAAAAAAAAAAACATGCTTCTTTAGTAAGGTATTTTCTGGTAAAAAATCAAAAGCAATTTGTATTGAGAATAAATGCAAACATTAAATATAGATCAATCACTTAAATTAGGAATTTTTAGGAACTGGCATATCTAATATGATGGAATTTTTTGGTTTATGAAGAAAAAACTTTGTCCACAAGTAAACAAGGAGCTACGCATATTTGCATTTTTTCTGTCTTAATTACCATTTTGGCAGGACTGATAAAAATCAACCATTGATTAAGGGAATCAAAGGTATCCTTGAATTCTCTACACTTGATTAGTCCCTGTTAGTGACTTCAAAAACAATGACACATTCCCTTTTGTAACATTATCCCACTTAATTACCTGCAAAAAGCCTACCTCCCAGAAACACAGTATGTACTATGAGGAAAGGACTGTTTCTGGCTTGCTTACAAAATATTCTCCTTCAAACTACAGAGTGCCAGGCACAAAGCATGTAGCTCATAAATATGTGGTAAAAATGAAAAATATATACCATTAACACTTAGGCAGCATGTGCAAACACTACCAAACCATGAGTGTTAAGTCAGTATTAATGCATAACAAGGGGTTTATTTATGCTCCTCTAAAAGCTGTACGTACTCTGATGTATCAGTGGCCAAGCTTTCATTTATTCTTTTTTTTTTAAAGATTTATTTATTCATTTATTTACACAAGCACTGGGTACAGTCAGAAGCACGGGAGGGTGAGAGAATTCACCAGAGCCAGAGCAGGGAACAGAACAGGCAGACTGACCAAGTACACTGCTGAGGGGAGCAGTGGGCATGGCAGGAGAGGTCTGCCCGCCATATGGGACCCTTGCCAGAGGCCCAGGAGCGAACCTGTGCTGCAGAGGCTACAGGCAGCTTTGCAGCCCAGCGCTCAACCGCAGTGCCACCAGGGACGCCCGCTTTCATTTATTCTTTAAAAGAAAAGACCATCAGCTCAATTAATTTCTTGATTTTATGTGGCTTAAAAAAGGTTCCAAACCATGTATAGACGCATATAGATTAATATTTATGTATATTGTTTTTTCAAGACAAACATAAAGGTTGAAAGCACTAAAAAAAGTACCAACAAGAATGTAAAGTTTAAGTAAGTCAGAATCTATCTAATAATACCATAACACCAATAATTATAAAGTAAAACAAAAAGTTGACAGGAACTTCAATCCAAGTTTGAATATCACACCACAAATATCTACTATATTTCTGGACTGTCCAAGGAATTGCAGAAAGTTTTGAAATCAATATAATGATTCCCAAATGAAACATCATCAAAAAAATTTCTGAATCAAAGTATGTTATATGTTGATCTTAATGATGCATCCCAAGAGCAAATAAAAATTAATGTACTAGTCCATTCTGCTATAACATGTGCTTTTGTAAAACCAAATATGCTAGTACTCAATTGTTAATAAGTGAATAATGTCTATATGTAATAACTGTTATTAGTTTATATATAAGGCATGAAGAGCAAAATTATAATAGCATTTATAACCTTGATAAATGAAGAAAAAGTAATAAACTCAGACCTCACAGGTTAAGTATCCTTTGATGTATTTTTTTTTTTTTTTTTTTTTTTTTTGGTAAATACAACACAGTTTAATAAGTAGATTGAATATGATCTAACTATAAAATTTAGGTAACAGAGTCAGTGTTACATATGACAGGACTGGGAAAAAATCATGATGATTTTCTTATCTCCCTCTTACCCCCCCTCCCACCATCATTATTCTATTAACAACAACAAAAAAGTCTTCAAATTTTCCTCCCAACAAAAACTGAGGGAAATGGAGGGTTTTCTTTTCCTTCTGCTCTGAACAGATTCGTGAACACTCCCAATACCAATTACTCACAAGGTATGTGTGCAAATCTATTTCACATGATTTCAAGGAAATGATTAACTCACATAAAAAAATCCTTAAACAAAGCTATTTTGGAGTTCTGTATATTATCTGGAAAGGAGGGAGGAAAGGGGGTGGTTGGTGGTGGTGGTAGAAGTACAATCCAGCCAAAAAAAAGTTTTAAATCAACAAGGAGTCTGACTTTTTTCTGGTCGTGGGACCAAAGACTCTAAAATGTTGGGAAAGATTTGGATCGGCTGCTATTGGAGAACACATTTCTCTTCTTTCTTGGCCATCTTGCCTTTGTTTTGCTCCAGAGTTCGCTCCAAATGCTCATCTTCTTCTTCGGCCTGCTTTTCCTGCGCGTCCAGGTCCCTGACGAGCGCATCGCGCTTGTTCACCAGGGCCACCAGCTCATCCAGCAGGAGTTGCTCTCGACGCTTCTGGGCCTCCGTCTTCTGCCAGTCTTCAATGGCTAGCATTGCCCGCAATTCCCGATTCAGAAGCTCATACCGTCGTTCTAAATCATGTTCTTTTTCCAGGAGAGAGAGCTGGTTCATTCTCCTTATTAAGGCATTTTTCTTATTAACTAACATAAACCATTCCTGCATCATAGCTTCTTCTTCTTCTGTGTTCCTTCCTGTGTCCATGAGATAGCGAAGGCGCTTCTCCACCAGCGCGGCACGGGTGTCAATTTGCTTTTGCTCATTCTCTAGTGCTGCCAATTCTCCTACAACATACTGACTGGTGTCTTTGAACCCTTTATTAAGCACTTCATCTTCTGATGGCTTCCTCTGAGTTTCAGTTATCGCTGCCTTCTCCTCATTTCCTTTCTTTGTATCTTCCTGCATTGATCTCTGCCTTTTCATCTCTGGTCTATTCTCAACATATTGACTGAAAGACTGAAGTTGAGTTTTTCTGACTGTAGAATCCTTGCTGAACACAATTGGATTTCTAAAGCGTTCTGTTCCTTTTTGTAATCGCTCAGTCCGGAGATCTTCTGTGCCATTCTTAAAGTCTTCTTCTGAGCTCTCAGCTACAGCTTTCTGAGCAGCAATGGAAGGTGTATTTGCCACCTGTGGCTGAGCTTCTAGGAGTTTCTTCAGCTTCAAGTCTACCACCTTAGTGTTTTGTTCGGGAATATCAAGGTCATTTTCTAAGTTAGTAAGTTCATCTCCACCTTCTACAACAAAGCCTTCAGGAATCTCCTCGTTAGTATCTATCTCAATATTATCATTTTCATCTCCAGATGCCTTTGACCTTTCTTTCAACTTTTCTGCAGCCATTTCACCATAGCTGGGAAGTTCTGACATCTTCACTCCAGATCGAGCTTCTGCTATTAGCTGACGAGCTCTCTCTCTCAGCTGCCGACGTCGCTCTTCATCTTGCTGATCACTTAGCTGTCTGTTGCAGAGTGGTGTGGCTGCATTGGTAGTCTGTTTGGTCTCTGCCTTTTTAGCTGCATCTCTTCTTGCTTGCTCAAGCAGAACTCTTGCTCTTTCTTTAAGTTCTTCTTGTCTCGATAACATTCGATGCTGAACTGTTTTTGCAGAATGATCTGCATGATTGAAAGTGGTTCTGTCAGCATCTGGTTCAGACTCTGTCTGCCTCAGGGAAGTACGTTTTTTCTTCGCAAGGTCTGCATCTCTGTTGTACGAGTATCCAAGTTTAGAAGTAGGAGATAAACTTGGTTTTTTGATAGGTGATTCAGGATCTAATTTGTACTCTAAGTGTCTGGAATTCTCTAATTTTTCTTGCTCCAAGTTACTACCAATGTCTAAAGTGTGGGGTTTTTGTTTCTCTGTCTCCTCACAAACAAAGGTTGGAGATACATCTTTCTTCTTATCACTAATATATAAGTCACTTAATTCTAAAGTCTCAGCTTTCAATAGTCTCTTTCTGCTTAACAAAACTTGGGCGTGAGTTGAATCTGTATTGTAACATATTCCAGGGTCATCAAATCCTGAAGTCCTTCCAGAGCTCTGCTGGGACTTTAGGGGTTCTGTGTCACTTTTAGTCCTGCGACAGTATGGGGAAGCTGTGCTTGGACTAAGATGGTCATCAGGAGTCTGATGTTCACTTTCTGACTCTCCAACGCCACTATCATTTACAAATACAGAGTCATCCTGTGATAAGAAGTCCACGGCTCCAATGGTAGGCTGTTGCAGTTCAGGCTCACGTTTCAGATCACTAAGTTCTGCATAGAATTTTTCCTGATCAACAGAACTGTTTGTATCTGTTTCATAGTTTCCAACTTTATATGTGCTTTTACTACTGTTTTCCTCTATCTGAACAACATTTAGTTCTTGGCCACTGAAATGTGCTCTTATTTGATAAAGGTAAGTCATAACAGTCAGTTTGTCAGGAATTGCTAATAAAACCATATCAGAAGGTTCCAATAATCGGGAAATTCCTATGCTGGCAAATCCATCATATGCCTTTTTGTTGTTCTCTTTAATATCTTGAGGATTCAGAGACTTGTAGTCAATTAAATCTGGTCTAAAGTGGTGTAATATTGCACAAAAAGATAAACCATTTCTCCATGATGTAGTAAAATTGGTGATTTTTACTCCCCGGTAGTTTTTTGTAACTTCTTTACACCATACAAGCAATGATTGACTAGCGTTTGGTTTTCGCCCCAAAACAGGACTTGGTATAGGACTTGGCTTAGGAGAAGTAGAGAGATCTCTTCCTGAAGAAACAACTGCATTTTCATTTACTCTTTCTGTCTTTGGTAAGATGACTGGTGGGGCTGGGGCTTTTCTTTTCACTCTTTTCTCAATTTCCAATTCTTGCATTGGATTTACCAAATTATTTGGAGGAGTTGGTTTAGGTTCATAAAAAGGATTTGACTCATCCAACTCCTCTTCTTCAGTTTTACAACTATCAGCGTAGAGGTACTTGCTCATGTCCACAGGTCTTATGTTTTTTCTTTTTGTAGACTGGGGAGGAGAATCCTTTATAGTTACAAAGGTTTCTGGCTCATCAAATGGGTTCAAATACTGTGGAGTGTGGACCTCTTTAAAGGGACTATAGCTGTTATTATAAAATGATTCTTCTGGTTTTTTAGGTGAAGCTGTTTCAGTAATTGGTTCTTCTGAGTCAGGATCTCCAAATGGATTTAAGTCTGCTATATCAGGATCACCAAATGGATTTAAATTCACAGTGGCCAAGTCCTTTTCTGCTTCATCCAAAAAGTTAAGTTTGTTGATAAGCTCTGTAATTTTTGCTGCCTTTTCCTCTTGGTTTACTCGATTCTCATCATCTTCTTCATTATCTTCTTCAAAGTCATCTAAGTTGCCAATGTCAGCCTGCTTCATACTCATCAGACTAGCCAAACTTTGCATGTCTTCATCCGTGGCTTTTCCTTCCCGAAGGAAAATGCAAGATAATGAAAACTGGAGTGTGGCAGATATAACTTTTTTAGACAATGGCTTAAATTTTAACTTGACATCAGTCTGAGTTGGCATAGGGCTTGCATACTGTTTCATATTGATGCTGCTAGTAGCAAGAGCTTTCCTTCGACCAGAAGGGGATTCATTTTCGATGACAAATGTCCACTCTTTATCTTCAAATTCCTCTGCATGAGGATCCTTAAAAAGTGTCACAGTGATTTCAATGTTTTCAGGAACAGGCCACACTACAACACCACGGTATGGGTTTTTTATTCCAGGTTGCCAGCTATGAGCCTTAGAAGACTTTCTTCGGCTTCTTCTTGTCCAAACTACCACCAGTTTATCTGGTTGCCATTTCTTGGTACACTCCACCATCAGTTCTTGGTAGGAAGCCACAAACTGGAACTTAGATGCATGTTTTCCTACACGCTGCAGTCTCTTCCAAACTGAAGCCATGATGACCAGTCAGTACACTGGAGCAATTCTGGGTTTGCAACACAGCAGCCTTAACAAAGCAGAGGGTCCAAAGCAAAGGAGTTTTGCATCTATGTCTATACTTTAAAAAACGCAACTACAACTTGAAATGCTGTTTGGGGTCCACAAGTCTTCTCCCTGATTCACAGGGTAAATCCCATTTTAGATGAATGGCCCAGTGAAGAACAGTATGATACGCATGACACGATGAGTGAGAGGAGGTTCCCTCATGGAGACATCACCATTCCAACTCGGGAGCTATATGGTGTGTATTCTGAAGGGCTCTAATCCCGCTGTCGGGCTGGGTCTGGCCCGGTTCCCTCCTCAGCGCCGCTCCTCCGTAGCCACCGCAGCAGCAGTCGCCGCCGCCGCCACCGAGTCCTCCATCCCCGCCGGAGCCACATGGAACGGCCGGGCCAGCCGCGACGCCCGCGGGGGCCGGGTCTGCAGCCCCTCGGGCGGACGGCGGCCTCACGCCCGCCCCCGCCCGGGTGGAGTCGCCCCGTGACCGTCCCCCACCCGACCAGACCCGGCCAGCGCCGCGCTCAGCGCCCAGCTCCCCCTCCCCCGCCGGCCTGCGCGGCCGCCACCGTCATTACCTCCCCCGCCGCGCCGCTCCTGATGTATTTTTAAAAAGTGGAAATGATTCTCTGTTCCCTTCTCAGAGCAGACTATCTCATGACTATTGGGCTATATTTTCACCTGGTTCCCCTTAACAACAAACAGCTCCACTAGTTCAAAACTCACTTCTATCTGCATTATCTCAGCAGCCACTGACAAACATTTTCAATCCATTATTTTATGTAACTTTTCTAAGAATCTCCAGCCACATTAGCTACAAGCCAACTGAGATAGTAGTTATTGGTTTTGTTAGTGCTCTGATCATAAAGTTACAGGGATTTTTGCATAATCTGCTCCAACCCTATTTTTGCTATAAGCATGTTTCTGTTTGTGATCAAATGGAAGTTTTTCATGAATGCGAATATTGCTACAGCACAAACATCTGTATCTGGTTTTAACATGAATTTTCATTGCTGCTGAATGGAAAATGTAAAATTATTCTTTCTATTGTTATTCCTAATCCGAACAGTTAGTTTTCTTTTTTAAAAAATGCTTTTTTCAGTTGTTTGACTTTGGAATTACTCATAAAGGAATGTAAACCTGGCTTATATTACAAAGAGGATAAGAATAACATTATTCTATAATTATGTCACATTATAAAATTTCTGAATGTACTTTACTGCAGCAAAAAAATTCCTCTTGTTATTCGATAATTCCATTTGCATAAAATGTACAGGAAAGACAATTCTGTAGAAAGCCAAAGAACATAGGGATTAACTGTAAATGGCCATTAAGGATCTTACAAAGTAAGATGACCAAAAAACAGGATGGTGGTGATGGCTGTACAGCTTGATAAATTTGCTATAAATTACTGGATTAATTAAACCTAAAAAAAGATGTTAAAAAATTTCTTCAGATAGATTATATATTTAGCACTATTCTAATCAATTCTACTTGAAGTCACATTTAAACATACTTTACAGTACAACATTTATTTTGCTAATTGTTAAAAAAAAATACCTTAGTTATGCCAGTTTTTTTAATCACACTAGGAATTATGCATCTTGGACCAGTTTCTCCAGCAAATCCACACCTGCAAATAAAAATAGAAACATTCAACTTACAACACTCAATCTATTTTTCACAAAAACAAGTTTTTCTGTATTTACTTGAAAGCAGTGGTCACAAAAACATCTTTGATGTACGCAAAGGGACAAAAACACCTATGGAAAAGTTAATACCATCTATTAGTAATGGCATACATATTCAAGGAAAAAAAACCAAAATTGTCTCTTATTATTGATATTCAAACAAACCAGTATATTATTTTATGGCAGCATTTACTTTTTCCCTCAGTTTTAAAATGTACCTGAATTTTATGTATCAAAGCTCTACAACCCTAGATCTGTACTATATTACATGACTTCACACATACAATATATATGTCTTTCATAACACTATCATTCTAAGGTTATTAGCTTCCATTTTGATGTGTTTACTTTTGGCCTATTTTGTAAGCTACTCATGTTTGACATAATTATAATCAACTTCATACATCATGAACTCATATAATAAGTTTCTACCATATTCTTCATTGCTATCATTTAAAAACTGCATAATATTTAATATTTTTTAAGTGATTCTCCTTTCTTGAGTACTTATGTATTCCCTTTTTTTTCATATTGGTAATAAAAAAAACTTTGTTAAAAATAGTGCTTAAAGTGCCCATCATGTAAGTTTAGTTTTAACATTATCTTTTTGTTCTGTCTAGTTTTCATATGTATTTCCTCCTATTCTCAAATAGCTCCCACCTTGCCTCCATTTTTACTTGCACCAGTGGTTCTCAAACCCCTTACTTTTATTTCACAAATTCATCTTATTACCTTTCCTGCTGTCTCGGTCAATCACCTTTCCATCAAATAGTTTTTTGCTTTTCATTTCTCATTTTATCCTTGGATGTTTGCCTCAAGTTACTTATTATGCTATTTAAAAACTTTAAAAAAATTAGTAAGGAAGAATTCTGCACAGAACAGCATCCGAGGTACAGTTTTAAAGAGGTTCTTTGCGCATTTACCTAACGCAGTTATTAAATACCTACTATATACTAGGTAGTACTTAGAGATTTATAAAAATTTCAAATGTTTCCATTTCAAAACATAAGAAGCACTACCGGTTGCCACTTTCCTCTCTTGAGTCTAGTACAAGGGTTCCTTAACCAGGAATCCAAAGACCACTGTGATGGTCTGCCAGCCACCTAAAACTATGTAAATATTTTAAGATTCATGGATTTGTGCCTTTCATTTGGTCGTCAAACAGATCTATGCCATCTAAAACGTGAGAACCATTACACCTGTGTTTACAAATTACCCTTTAAAACTCAACATTTCCTAATCTAAGATTGCATGGGAGCAAACAAAGGTTCTTGGAAATATCTGTATATTTCACCTCTGTTTACAAGTTCAGCCTCGTTAATTCGATTTCCTGTCTTAAACATATTTGGATTTCCAGCAGTAACAGAAGCTCCACTCAATAAAAATTTAATGATGAAGACTGTATCAAGAGTTAGAATAATTTTGCTAATTTCCTAAGGAAACAAGCCCTAAGGAAGGTCTAAGTGATTGCTTGCATCCCCTGTATGGGTGACTCCGAAGGGTCCGTTCGGTTTGGGGTGACAACCCGTGGAGACGGGGAAAGCAATTACCCCGGAGTCTCTTGGGCCTCTCTAGGGAGTCAGACCTGATCGCCCCACTGAATCCAAGAGGTCAGTATCGCCCACGGTGGAAATAATAAGGGCAGTCGTTTACGAAAGTGCCGAGGGAAGAAGTGAGGCGAGAGTGCAAACTGAGGTGAGGACTTAGCCCAGACTTGGGGTTCGGCCACCCATCCCCCTTCGCACTTCCGCCGACGCCGCGGCCACTCACTTGGTAAAGGCTTCCCCCAGGTCTATCACCACCGCCGTTTTCTCCCCTCCGCTTCCCAGGCCCTCGTAGAGGGGCATGTTGATGAGGAGACGGGCGAAGAGGTGGGGACGCGGGGGCCAACAAGCCTCGGCTCGGGGGGCGGGGCCGGGCTCTGGCGCGCATGCGTTGGCGACGGCGGGGGCCTCGCGGGGCAGCGGCGCGCCCGCCAGGCTGTCCGGGGTGTGCCTCACTCCGTGACGGAGCAAATCCTCGCAGGCGCCCCCATTTAGGGGACTGGGGAGGAAGAGGCGCGAGCAGTCGCTGACCTGGGTGCGGGGTCGCGCGATAGGTTGGAGGAGCGAGGAGGACAGGCGAGCCGGGCGTCCCGGGGGGGCGGAGCCGACCCCGGGCCCTTCCCGTCGGACACGCCCTCAGGCGGCGCCGGGGCCGAGCCTGCGGGCGCGCGAGTGTGGCGTTTCCTCCGCGCCGACGCTCCTGGGGGAAACGTGAGCTCCCAGACTTTGATTCGTGCAGTCTCTGGACAAAATTTGCTGTGCCAGGTGTTTTTGCCACCGTTTCTTCTTCGCAAGAGATACCGAAAATAGATATTACCTTCTTACCTAATGCGAACGGAAACTCAGAATAAGTAACTTTGCAGCGCAGTTCAACAAGCCGGGATGGGACACCAGGATTTTCTGACTTCAAAGCCTGCATTACGGATGCTTTAACGAAGAATAACTACATACAACGTTTTATTTTATAAATTCTGCTGCAATTATTTATTTAACCTCAAAGAAAGCAAAAATCATCACGAATCCTTGGAGGAACAGGCTGTTTGAGTGGAAGGAACATTGAACCAAGGATTCCTGTTTAAAGCTGCGGAACTGTGTAAACTAAAAAAAGCTGGTAAATCTGTGCCAGTATGTACATAGGAATTCTACTATAGGGATTGTTTGCACCTTCATTTTACATAGCTATATTCTTTCTGCTTTTCTGCTTGAAATTGCCCGTGAAAACTGAAGCTAGTTTATTCCTTATCTCAAAGACGTGGGAGGAGGAATGACTTGTTTTCCCCCAGTATGTCTTTCTTAATAGTCTAGCTGCCTAGAACTCCCGACAAAGAATGGGTTTTTCCGTAGTAAGAATTAGGGCTGTACAATGCATAAATTTGGACAGTGTGACATTAGTAGAACTCACTGATCAATGACCTTCCTGAAAGCAAGTTGCTGGAGGTAAGAGGATGAAGCTGGAGTTGTGATGGAGAGGAAATTTAAAAAGGAGTGCAAAATGATGACGCATTGCTTAATAAGGTCATAGTGTTTGAACAGGGCCCAAACAGGTTCGAATTCTGCTTCTGCCACTCTGTCAACGTCGCTAATACTTCTAATCATCCCCATCTTATTTGTAAACTGTCCTAAAACTCCCCAGGGTATTTGTAAGGCTTCATTGAGATTATATCAATATATTGAAACGACAGTGTTATTACTGCCCATCCTGTCTTTTTCCATGACTACTCATTAGCTGTTATTAGTCTTCTAGGGATGCTTTCACAAAATACCACAACATGGATGACAAAAAAAAATACATATTCTCTGACAGTTCTACGGGGTAGAAGTCCTAGATTTAAAGTATCAGTCAGGTCATACTCTATATAAAGGCTCAAGGGATGCGTACTTGACTCCTTCTGGTGGTTGCCATCAAACATGGTGTTCCTAAGGTTGTAGATGCAGCTTTCCAATCTGTAGTTCTGTTAAGACCTTAATTACATACAAGGTCCCATTTTAAGGTTCCCAGTGTACAAGAATTTGGGAGGTAGTGGGCTGGTACTGTGCATCCCAGCTCACCAGCTTGATGGTGCTCTCCATAACTCTGTCCTTAGACCACTTCTTTGCCCCTTTCTTTGACAGTCTCTCCCACTGCCGTACATACACAGCTAGAACTAATAACTTGTCGATTTCTATCAGCTGCTCACTTTGTTTGCTTTATGTAATCCCATCTAGTCACAATAATTTTATGAGTTAAATATTCATTTAACTGAAACCAGGAGTGGTTAAATAATGTGTCCACCAGCTCTGAGCTGGTAAATGGCAGAGTAGGAATTTGAACCCAAATAGTTTGACTCCAGAGCCAAAACTACATTGCATAATTATAAAGAAGTTATACATTAATTATACATTATGCTATATTATAGAATTTTTAGTCTTAGTATATGAAGTGACCTAAGAGGTTTTCAAGTCCAAACTCTAACCTAAGATTTTCCTGTCCATCTCTGTTGAGAGCTGTTCCCTAAATGGTTCCAGTGATGAACAGAGGGGCTCATAACTGTTTGGGACACACCAACATATGCTTACTAGTGAAATTAGAAGTTGGGGATAGGGCCTCCCTGGTGGCGCAGGTGGTTGAGCGCAGTGCTGTGAAGCTATCCGCAGCCTCTGGAATGCCGGTTCAACCCCCGTTGGCCACGGAGATGCCCACATGGCGAGGCAGACCTCTCCTGTCTTTCACGCTGCTCCCCTCAGCAGTGTATTTCAGTAGATCTGCCTGTTCTGTTCCCCCGCTCTGCCTCTGGTGAATCCACTCATCCTCTCACGCCTCTGGCCTGTACCCCAGCTCTTATATAAATAAATAAAATCTTAAAAAAAGAAAGCATAGAAGGATAGTGATATGCTGTCAAATGGCAAGAAGTGATGGATCCAAATTGCATAAGACTCTTCACTGATAATGCTGGGAGTTTGGACTTTGTCCTATAATTATTAATTACCATTCAAAATATTTGAAGGGAAAGTCAATGCTGTATTTGTGTTCTGCTTAATGAGTCTGTGTTAACTTCTTTTGGATAGACCAGAATGAAATGGAGGCCACTAAGACTGGTGGTGAAAAATCAATATGCAGGTTATTTGATGAGTCCATGACAAAAGTGATGACCGTTAATTACAATAATATATATGTGACAAATTATCATTAAAATGTTATCAATATGGGAGAAAACATAATTTCAATAAAAATTGCAACTTAGAGCTCTTCTCAAGCACCGTTAGAAAAATAGGTATTATTCTGATTTAATCAACTAAATTTACAATTATACTCAGTTATAATTCTATTAGTATATAATTCTATATACTCAATTATAATACTATTAGTGCCTCTTAATCATTTCTAAAGTAGATTAATCAGAATTAGCATTATGTAGCTTTATTTTTCACTTTTTTCAACTTCTGCAAGTTATAGCACCAAAATGAAAATATTAACTAGCTCTTGAAACCATGATAAACTATTCATTCTTAGTCATCAAAGCCCACGTCATAGATAACTATTACTTACTGTCTCCAGAAAGAGCTCACCATCTTTAACTCAGAGACTGCTGTTGGGTCCAGAATGACTGAGAACATGCCCTAATCTTAGACTTCCCAAATAAACTATAAAAGTGCTTTAATGTTTGGTTGATGAAGAAGAGTTTCCATCAGCCCCAATGACTCAAGTAGTCATATCTTGTGGATTCCTCTAGCTCAATCTTTTCCTATCCTATGTAAAATCCTTTAGTATGTTTAGTATAAATCTTCTATAAACAGGATTTTGACATGAGCTCCTTAATTGGGCTCTCTCTCCTCCATAATACATTGTACTGCAGGAAAAGTGAACACTTGAAAATGCAAATACAATCATGACACTTTTTGCTTAAAATCTTTCAGTGACATTCTGCAGTTCTCAGATAAGGCAGCACCTATATCAACCTGTGGTTAGTTTCCTAAATGTATTCTGCTGCTTCATACTTCCCATATTGCCTTTATCTTGCATCTTTTCATTTTGTCTTTCCAAACACATTGAAATATCACCTCCTCGGAAAAGCTATCCCTTACCCATGATCTGTTTAAATATTCATCTGGGCCTCCGTGGCATCCTGTGCACATTAAAATATTTCTGGTTAGTTTACAGTTATATCCCTAGTGCCTAATAGAGCTCCTGCATATAGTAGGTTCAGGATAAATATTTTATAATGACTAACATGTTTTTGTGAAGTTATATTTGCTGTGCTTTCACCTGCAAAGCATTGACTTCGTAGAACAGCACTTAATATAAGGCTGAGTATAGAGTATAGATACTCAGCAGTTTTTGAATGGATGACTGTGACATGAAAAGGTGGCCAGCTAAACTCCTCCCAGCTCACCTTATAGCCAGTTGGGAAGGGGCAATAAGAAACTGCTTTAAACTCGGTATATGCCCTCCATCTCTCTGAGTGACCACCATAGTGCTTTTGAAGCTAACCTCTCATTGACTGTTTCATGCCCCATTTTATGAATGCTCATGACACATTGTAATAAAACTTCATACAATGAACCAGAAAGAGTTCACAATGAGCTGGAATCATCCTGGTGCATTCCCCTGTAGGAAAGAGAAGTATTTCACTAGAGAATAGTACCAGGAACTGTGCTGAGGTCAGGACACATTTGGGCTGATTTATCACACTCTTCATTTCTGTAGAAGTACATAATGAAAATTTATTGGCAACTGTAAGATACAGCAAGATCCTGAACCATCAAATACAGAATCAGTTACCCTTTTTAAACCTGTAAAGAGAAAAAATAGACTAAAATATTTAATGAAGATTTTAAGAAACCATATATTAAGCATAAAAGTATTTGCTAAACTGGTATCCTATTTCATTAATGTTCTATAAATAATTTTTATGTTGTGCCTGCAAATGGTTAAACAAAATGAAAATTTTATGGTTTCCTCATATTCTTACCTCAGGCCATTATCAGTTTTGGAATCAACCTGATTTGGAATCAATTCTAGCACTTGGATTTTTGTTTGTATTGTCCCTAAGTTGAAAAATAAGGCTTTCGGGCCTCCCCGGTGGTGCAGCGGTTGAGCGCTGGGTTGCGAAACCGCCCACGACCTCTGTGGCACCAGTTCGATCCTCGGCTGCTCCCCGGCCACCGGAGGAGGGTCCCACATGGCGCGCAGACCTCTCCTGCCACGCCCGCTGCTCCCCTCAGCAGTGTACTTCGGTCCTTCTGCCTGTTCTGCTCCCTGCTCTGACTCTGGTGAATTCTCTCACCCTCTTGCACTTCTGACTGTACCCAGTGATTGTATAAATAAATAAATAAAAATAAATAAATCTTTTAAAAAAAAAGAAAAATAAGGCTTTCCCCCCTTTTTCCAGTCTC